GTGTGTGTGTGTGTGTGTGTGTGTGTGTGTGTGTGTGTGTGTGTGTGTTGTGGGCATGCATACTTTCTGTGACACGGAGGGCGGAGGAAGACTCTGAGTGCCTTCCTCTATTATTCTTTCCTTCTCTGACTCCAGACAGGGTTTTTCACTGAACCAGAATCTCATTTTTCCAGCCAGGCTGGCTAGCCAGAAAGCTCTCAAAATCTGCCTGTTTCTATCCCTAAGTCCCAATGCAAGTGTGCATTGCCATACCCAGCTTTTTATGTGAGCTCTGGGGATTTGAACTCAGGTCCTCATGTTCCACAAGTTCTCTTAGCCACTGAGTCATCTCAGTGTTTTTAGAGATAAGGTCTTTTGATAGCTTGAAACTTACAAAGTAGGCAATGATGGCTGCCCTTGACTCCCAGGAACCCATCTGGCTCTGCCTTTCTGATGCTGGGACTACAATGTCTTCCCCAGGAGACTGTCCAGCCCCAGGGCAGATCAAGGTGGTGTCTCTCCAAATGTGCAGAGCAGAGCACCGCTCTTAGTCTCTGTGTATATCCTATCCAGTGGCCGCCATGGGGTTCTAGTCAATGGTCTGGTTATCTTGAGTGAGTGTTGTCACTGAGTTCTGGCTGCCAGGTGCAGCCTTAGGTGTAGTGGGGATCCTGAGCAGCTTTTTGTTTTGTTTTTCAAGACAGGATTTCTCTGTGTAGCCCTGGCTGTTCTGGACTCACTTTGTAGACCAGGCTGGCCTTGAACTTACAGAGATTCACCTGCCTCTGCCTCCCAAGTGCTGGGATTAAAGGTGTATGCCAACATGCCCAGCCCCCAAAGTTTCTTCTTTTTTTTTTTCTCTTTCTTTCTTCTTTCCTGAGACAGGGTTTCTTTGTGTAGCCTTCGCTGTCCTGGACCCGCTTTGTAGACCAGGCTGGCCTGGAACTCATAGAGATCCACCTGCCTCTACTGAGGTTAAATGTGTGTGCTACCATACCCAGTTTAAAAGGCATTTTTCACTGTGCTCATTAAAACCCTCCTTTCCACTGAGTTATATTTATAAGGTCCTGGATTCTTTACTTTCGCCCTGTGAAATAATTTGCGCACATTGGCTCATCCTCGCAAGCCTTGGATGACTTCAGCTTGATTGTAGTAAACAATCTTTCTGATTCGCTATTGGCTCAAGTTGCTAGAATTGTATTGCTTTTGTACATACGTATATTTTTCTTTTTTGGTTTTTTGAGACAGGGTTTCTCTGTGTAGCCTTGGCTGTCCTGGACTCGCTTTGTAGACCAGGCTGGCCTCAAACTCACAGAGATCTGCCTGCCTCTGCCTCCGAGTGCTGGGACCACAGGTGCGTGCCACTGTGCCTGGCTTTTTGTACATATTTTTGTATCTGTGTTCCTAAGGATATTGGTCTAGAGTTTTCTTTTCCTGTTGTCAGTAGAGTAGAGATCCCAGAAATAAATCCGTATATCTACAGCCAACTGGTGACAAAAACAAAAAGAAACACATCAGAGGAAAAAAAAACATTTCCAACACATCAAAAAAGATTAAATGGTGATCTCATACTCTGTTCAAAAAGCAACTCAAAATAGATCAAAGTTCTAAATGAAGAACTGTAAAGCTACTATAATAAAATATGGGAAACCATTATTTAAGACATTTGTATGGAGCCGGACACAGTGACACATGGGGGGCTGAGGCAGGGGGATTGTGAGCTGGAAGCCAGCCTGGGCTACACAGTGAGAGCCTGTCTTCAAAACAACACCGACAACAAAAACCTCACAACCTCCTTCTTCTCTAAAAAAACAAAAACTAGTGCTAGGAGATGGCTCAGTGGTTAAAAGCACTTGTTGCTCTTGCAGAGGACCAGAGTTCAGGTCTCAGCACCCACTAACCACCGCTTGAACTCCAACTTCAGGAGCTCTGACACCCTCTTCTGGGCACCAGGCATGCACACACATACCTACACACAGGCAAAAACTGTAATGGAAGTTTTAGTTTCTTTAAAAACTGAGTTATGAAAACAAAAACAAAAACCTCAGTTATGTCATGTCAATATATTTTTGTTTTAATCCCAAGTGTGGGATTTTAGTTTGAGCTGTTGTTTGTGCGCAGCTGATAACTGTCTCCTTCAGGGTGTGGTCTTTGCCGGCTGATACTCGGCCTGCCTCCTGCTGCACGGAGAGGGGCGTGGTCTAGGGCTCCAGAGGGCTATAAATATGAAAGCCCAGAAAGTGGTGAGGCAGTTTGGACAGACCAGAGGGAAGTTGTGGCTTGGAGGAGACTGCTTGCTGCGTATGCTGTTGACAGAGATTGGTAAGGCCCCAAAAGAACCCATGAATCCCAAACAGCCAGGAGAACTAAAGGGCTCTGCAGTCACTCTCCCCACTAACCTTCTGTCTCTTACCTAAAGGGTTGGAAGGGAGGTAGAGGCTTAAATACCCCAAACAAAATAGCACTTAAAAACAAGCGCGACATAAAACACTGTCAGTTCCTTTCCCAGTGCTGTGACAGGTCACGGCCAAAGCAACTTACAGGTCACCTTACTTGGGAGCATAGTTTCAGAACCCGTGACCGTCACAGTGGGGGGCGTGGCGGCAGGCAGGCAGGCATGGTGGCTAGGGCAGCAGATGGGGGCCTGGATCTCCATCCGCAGGCAGGAAGCAGACAGGGCGCGCTCAAATAGCAGTTTTTGAAACCTCAAAGCCTCATTAGGCCACACTTCATAAAACTGCCCAAACAGTGTCACCAACTGGAGACAAAGTACTCTGATGTCCGAGAATATGGGAAACACCTCATTTAACCCACCACATTCACATACATTTAAAAAAGAAGAAAAAAAACCAACTTAAAAACACTTAAAAGCCCAAACAAATAGACAAAATAAATGGCTAATAAATTCATGAAAAGCACTCAGTATAATTAGCAAAACTATTTCACCACCCAGTCTGCCGGTTATCATTTAAACAAAGCGGAGAAAAATGCCGGTGGCTATGTGGAAAAGAAAAGCAAGTATGCAGCCTGGGGCGGAGCACTCTCCGATGTCAGCTACGTCCCCAGCTCTCCAGCATTCACTTTTTCCTTACCTTTAGTGGCGTGTATGTGTGTGTGCGCGTGCGCGTGTGTTTGTGTCTGTCTATGTGAGTGTATGTGCATGCATGGTTGTTTGTGCAAGTCAGAACACAACCTTCCAGAGTTGGCTTTCTCCTTCCTCCGTATCAGTCCCCAGTTTGAACTCAGGTCAAGCACCCTTACTTGCTGAGCCGTCTCGGTGGCCCATGTATTTCCCATCTGGAAAACTCTGGCAGTAGGTATCTAGCAAGTGATTCCCACTTGTCCTACTCCACAGGAGCTGGAGGAGCAGCCAGGCCGTTCAGGAGCGCCACCTCCAGTGTCTGTAATCCAACTGGAGACAGCCAGGCAGTGAAGACCGGTAGGGCGTGAAAGCAAGCACTAACCCTGGGTCTACTGAGGAAGGCTTTACTACTGCCATCTCTCATCTAGGAGCACAGAGGGTCAGTAATTACAGTAATATGGCCAAGCCCCTAAAGCCAGCAAGGAACAAAGGTTCAGCCAGGCTCAAAAACTGATGTGGGTGCTCTTTGGTTCCTCCACCTTTTCTGGGCAGCAGCAACCCCCAATCCCATACAGACAGAAGTTCTGGGGACCTAGTCCTGATGGAGACTCATGCTATACCGTCCGAAAGCGGAAGGCCTCAAGAGTCTCCACCTGTGCTGAGGAGCAGGCAGAATAAAGCTAGGTCAAGGGGACACAGTTCCCTGAGACCCCTCCACTGCCTCAGACTCGGTCCGGCTGTACTCATCGCCCTGGCTTTCCTCTAATTCTTGTGCCCCTGTGGCCCCACGCACTGGCGTCCCACGCAGGGGGACCACGGTGCACACCAGCATTCTGAGCAGATCTTCGTAAGCTCGTGTGGCTGCTGCTGAGACAGGCCTTGCTCCGTAGCCTACCTGCCTCCATCTCCCCAGTGTCAGAGATAAAGCTATGCACCATTGTGCCCTCTCCAAAGTTTCCTGCTGTTTTCTTTAGGACTTCTGTTTTGAGACAGAGTTTCTCTGTGTAGCCCTGGCTGTCCTGGAACTTGCTCTGTTGGCCAGGATGGCCTTAATTTCACAGAGATCTACCTACCCAACCACTGGGATTAAAGGGGTTCACCACCACTGCGTGGTTCAAATTTTATTATGCATAATGTGCACTGTGCGTATGAGTGTCTTGCCTGCATTCATGTGCTTCGTGAGAAGATGGCTCCATTAGCCCCTGGAACTGGTTACAAATGGCTAACTGCTATGTGAATGCTGGGATTGGAACCCAGGTCCTATGGAAGAGGTAGCCAGTGGTCTTAATTTCTGCTCTATCTCTCCAACCCCAGATCACCTTATTTTAAATCATTTAGATCATTTTCATACCTAATTTTTATATGCAAAAGACCCTATTACAGTCACAGGTGGCTTAGCCTGTTTGTTCACAGGGTGTTTTATCCATAACTTCAGAGAGCCATAGAATCCAGGCAAAGTCTCTGTCCTGGAACATCAACAAACTCAAAAGTTGCTGTGAAAAACTAGGATTTTCGGTTGGGCATATAGCTCAGAGGCTGAGTAGCATGCCAAGCACCCTGGGTTTGTACCACAGCTGGGAAAACAAGGGCAAACACTGCCAAAGAAGAAAACACTGCGCCCAGCCAGGAGGATGGCACAGCGGGGAAGGTGTTGCTGCCACGCCCGACAATCTGAGTTCCGGCCAGGGGACCATATGGTAGAAATAGAGAAGAGATTTCTACAAGTTGTCCTCTCATCTCCACACTGTGCCAGAGTGCAAATAATTGTAATTTAAAAATCCAACATTACAGCTCAAAACGTTCAGAACCTGTAGAAAGCCCTACCAACTGTCGGTGATATAGCCCAGAAGCCTCTAGCTGTTCAGGGGGTAGCTATCAGAACCTGGCTCCAAGTAGCTTCTACGCTGGCGACTGGGACTCTGGCAGGTAACGAGAAGTACTCTGCACTCCCACTCAAGCGTTTGTACTGACTCCCACCTAACCCTGCACCCAACCCCACACCTCCGTCACAGCAAGCACAAGACCTCGTTGTATCAGTCACTCCACAGGTGAGTCACCAAAGCAAGGCTGTACAGACGGCGGGATGGGGAAGAGGAGAGGGGCAAGGGACACCGAAGCCAATTCATTTCAGCAGCATCTTTATTGCAACCAAGAACCTGTAATAAAATGCAGCAGAACTAATGCTTCACATCACACAATTAAAAGCCACGGGCTGAAAATGAGGAGACCCATTCGCTTACTGGAGGGAGACATGCAGGTCATGCACAGGCCAGTGCTGAAACAGCAGGCACTTGACGCACTGAGCTTAAGAGACCCCAATTCCAACTTTGCTGAAAACAACATAAATTCGTATTATGGTTCTTTAAAACTGAACATACAAACACAGCTTCTGTGTCTGCAAGGGACTTCTGGAACAACTCTAGAGCCGAGCATCTTCCTTGCACTAAAGGTCAGTGTGGTTGGGGGGGGGGTGCTGGGAAGGCTGAACGGGGTTTTTCCAGTTCCCTTCCATCTGCTGGGCAAGGACGCTCTCACATTACATGGTTTAGATTTGGCTGAAGCTCTGGTCTCACATCAGGTAAGCTGTAAGATGGACCCCTGGGCTTATGCAAGCACTCTGTCGCTATCTCCCATGACACCAAGGAAGACATTTAGTATAATGATTTCAATTAACTTCAGAATGTCACATACTCATCAGTCTGCTTTATTAATAAGCATGCTTAGCATTTACTTAGAAAGGAAAAATTAACCATTTTTAATGTGGTTTCCTTTAAGATGTTTTATAAGAATGCATTAATAAATCTTTAAAAACCCTACCTTTCTTAAATATCACATAACTACCATGAAGCAGGGCACAGATGGAGCCTGGTTCTGAGTACTGACTGTGGGGTCCTGGGTGTGTTTCCTTCTCTCTAGAACACAGGCTTTCCCCCTAGCAAATGAGAACACTGGGTTATATTAAAGATCTGTTCCAGCTGGAAATTTTATGGTTCTGCAACAACGTGAGCTTTGACTGGAATCATCCCACCTGCAGAGAGAACTGGATGGTAAAGGCAGGAAATACCTCAACAAAAGCATACCTCCCCCCTTCCACAGCTCACAGGTTTGAAAGGGACAACTGTGCATCGTGGCTGTGTCTTCCTGGATGAGGCTTTGGAAGAGCCAGGGACAGATAAAGCCATTATCCCCAAGTAAAATTTCAGGCCTTGTTTTGGGTTTTAACAACCACCTGCCGTATATAAGTCACCTGTTCTCTGACCGCAACTGCATTCTTTACAGAAAGTTTACAAAAGCAGCCCGCAGACCTGACTAGAAGCGCCAGGAAGCGCAGTGCTGGAAATTACACTCCCGGTTTCCACCCAAACTGATGGGCGCACGCCTCTGAGAGCAGGTTCACAACTCCCATTTCCTGTGCTCAGGTCCTGGATGAACCTTAGTGTCCTGCTGCTCTGCACATCGAGTACCTTTACCTGCTGCTCAAGGGCACTTGTCACCAAACCTGTGAAAACCCCACTTTGGTGAGGAACAAGAGTGCTTTCTGGCTCCCATCAACCTTGAACTTTCACGGACTCTTGCCCTTTCACTGACATCCAGTCAGAGGACAAACGGTTAGAACAGTTTCTGATTGCTCCAACTGATGGATGCTTTTCACACTGGTGGTGACAAGCCAGCTTCTGCATGTGAGTCAAGCGCCTTCCCCTTTAGAGAAGGACAGCATCTAAATGACAGTTGTCAAATGTACTCCTGTGACAGCCGGAGAGAGGCAGAAGAATCTAGGGTAAGTGAGATTTTCCAAGGATTGTTTGCATAAAACAAGGAATGCCTCATACTAAGCACACATGAGGGTGAGAGGTCTCAAATGGGTGGCTGGGAGCTACTTAAAGTCACCCCTACCTAGAATGTAAGCAGCAGCCCCTGGAGGCTAGCTGGTCCACCCCCAACAGTCAAAAGAGAGATACTTAACTCATGAGGGAAATACTTTGTTGGGGAAGGAAAGTTACTCAAATCAGTTTAATTTAACTTGAAAAATATAAACAAATTTTGGCACGAGAAAATGTCATAAGCATGAAAGTCAAAATAGACAATAAGAAAAAGTGTGGAATCTATCATACAGCGTAAGTACACAGCTGGCATAGTCAAAGGGACAGAAAGGAGCCTACAGGCACCGGCTTTCCCAGGCTGCCCAAGCCACCCACCTCTCTCAGTCCCCACCCTCACTGTGCTCTCTTAGAAAGGGACCTGATGTGGCAGTGGAAAAGAAACACAGCGAGTTTTCCTGGAGTGATTTTTAAATTATGGTAACTCTAAACACTGACGTTTGTGATTTAAAAGGGTTAAACCTACAGGTGCCTGGCTCCCATCTAATCCTGGAAGGCCTTAAAGGGAAGATGACAACCAGCACTTGAAAGCTCATGCGGTCCCTTCATAGTTAAGCAGAAAGGCTAAACCAGGAGAACATCATGGCCTAGTAACAAAACTACTGATAGGCTTTCAACACAAAGAGTGCCATGGTTTGTCAGGGATTCGTGCACGGCAAAGAAGTGATCTGGAAACCATTTTATTTTAAGCTAGTGATATCTAAATTACATTCAAATAAAAAAAGTTAAAGTTTAGATCTGTAAGGTTTCTAAAGCTAAAAAGAAAAATAACAAAAAGCTAGAATTATAAAAGTAACTGTCCCTGCAGCTGTGCTGGCAAAGCCCGACTTTCCGGCTCTGGTTCTTAGCCACTGGGAAAGTTACATTTACCCTGGTTTTTTCTCATGAGTATTTCTGCTCAACTATTTCTGCTCAGTTCTTAAGCAGAGCCTTGCTCCCTCCTGTTCCCATTGACTCCTGCACCAGGGTCTCACCCTTCCCTCTGTAATCCTTCTACCTCCTGGAAACTCTGGAACACTTTAATTAAGGAAAGGTAAAATGGAAACGGCACCATTATATTTTCAGAATATATGTGAATGTATACATTTTCTGTTCCTAAAAGGAGAAAAAACTTGCCTGCTAATTTTCAAGCTCTCAAATAATTTGATTAAAAATTTTTTTTGCCTGTAATTGTCAACATTGAGACTTGTGATAAACTCATGCTATAGTTACTTGCCTTTATGCAAAAGGAAACTCCACTCCATCATACCATCAAAGAAAATGAGAATTACTTATACTAGATGCCATTTAAATTGGTTAAAAACTGGTCAGAGCCCAAGTAAGTATCTTTAGGAGGCCACTAAGTTATCCTTGAAAAATCATTAATGACTGGGAAAGTCATAAGCTTAATAGTAATTAGTTCATGACATGCTGGATACACCCCAAGTGACGAAGCATAAGGTGATTCAGTTAGACTTAAGTGCTAGCGAATCCATAACTATCGGAGATCCTGGCATGGAACCAAAGCAATCACTACATCGTCATATTTTAACAAACTCAGAAGTATACTGTAAAACCCCCTAGGTAAGCCCAAGAGGCTTACACTGCTAGTAAAAGTGAAGACAGGCTAGCATGAGCATGTGTGCTGATGCCTTGCTTCTTTCAGAATCCTATGGTACTGCTGAATCTCTTGGAAACACGGCACTCAGTTCTGTGTACATGGTAAAGGTATTAGATCACTATCCATGAACTGCAGATTTCCGCATGGCACCAAATTTACTTTCAGAAGTAGATCTTACGTGGCAGGTACCAAAGTAGGATCATCAACTCTGGCTTCTCTATTGACTAACCCTCCTTGTTTGATTAGAGAATGTACAGTGGGTTCTACGCAAGTCCGAGTTATATCACTTTCAGAGCAGCAATACGGGACCCCAGGTTCTCCTGAAGGTAGTGCAACAGGTGCAGTTCATAGTGCTCTCCAGACTCAGGGACTCTGATGCTGTGCCTCTCCTGAGGGTAGATCTTCACGGCAAACAACAGAGGCAAGAAGACAGAGTTTAGTGATGCTCCTCTTTCAAAATCTTTCTCAACATAGCTTTTTTTTTTTTTTTTTTTTTTTTGCTTTTTGAGGCTGGGTCTCATGTAGCCCAAGCTTACCATGCAGGCAAGGATAGCCTCAAACTCCAGATTCTCCCGTCTCTGGTTCCCATGTGGTAGGATGCTTTCCAGAGGTTTCTAACTGGACCATCAATATGGAACAGTGCCTCTCTGTGGTATCACACTAATACATATTCTAAGGCTCTTAGCATTCTTTACACACTTACCCACGAAGCTTCAGGAGGATCCTTTAGTGGTTCATTTCCTGAGTGTGGTCTCTAGGCTTCCAAGAGTCTTGGAAACCAAAGGCCATACAAGGTTTAAACTATCCTCCAGCTAGCACACGAGAGACAGAGGCAGGAGGATCATGAGTTTAAAGCTGCCATGACCTGCATAAGTGAAACAGTGCTCAAGAAAAACCAAACCAAAACAATACAAAAAGAACTTAAAAATCTGTAGACAACTAACCTTGAATGAGCTCTATTCACTGGGTTTACAATGCTGTTCCAACAATGTAAAATTAATGAATTCAAGTGGTGGTGTCCTAACATGCTAGCATGAAGTGAGGCATTAATTATCCTGGGAGCTATAATAGTCTGTATCACACAGATGTGGTAAAAAGAAATGTCATTTTCATTTAAGTGGTGGTAAAAATCAGAATGTTATACATTAGAACCGAGGGTAGACATGTTTTTAATTATCATGCATCATGATGTTTTAGCCATCAGCTCACTCCACCTCAGTGGCACACTATTGTAGGGTGGGACTATAAAAACAAGGGCATGGACTACATGCTATAATCCTAGCACCTGGGAGGCAGAAGCAGGAAGATCTCAGTGAGGTCAAGGCCAACCAAGCCTACATAATGAGTTCCAGGGCAGCCAGGGGTACAGGGTGAGACCATATCTCAAAAATCAAAATCAAAAAACCCCTACCCAACCAAATAACCAACTCTCCACAAAAACAATAAAAACAAAAATAAGATACAATAAACAGTCAACATCTGAGAGATGTTAAAGTATTTTTCTGGTATCAATGCAAGGGTAAAAAGACCCATTTGAACGATAAGGTTAGTGCCAATGGATTACATATTTTCCATATTTATTTTACGTATATGTATTTCATGTATATGTTTTCTGTGTGTGTGTGTGTGTGTGTGTGTGTGTGTGTGTGTGTGTCTGCGCACCATTTGTATGCAAGAGTTCAAGGAGACCAGAGGAGGGTGTCAGATCTCCTGGAGCTAAGGTACAGGCAGTTGTGATTTTCAGTTAGGTTACCCCTCCATCCTCACGATCAAGTCTCATATTAAGCGGGAGAATGGCAGTGAAGTCGACAGTGAGTGGGTTCAATGGCAGCGAAGCCGGACAGTGAGTGGGTTCGGCTGCCATTTCCAGGCCTACAGGCTCAACGAACACGGACACCGACCAAAGGCATGTAATTGATAGGCCCGAGTTTCAGTCTGCCTTCAGTTGATAGGTTTTATAGCTGATCATTTTTACCAACTAAAGACTGATAACTATGATTATGACTTTAGTGTTCTCAGGCAGCGTGCAGACACAGCTGAAACTCACTCAGTCTTTTGTTAGATTTCAGAACAATCTTTCACTATTTCCCACCACAATGGATTTTAAAAGCAGAGTCACCCACCTGTAAGTCATACGGCTTTCCAGCCCTCACTAAAAAACTCAGCAATATACTGGTGTGTGCAAAATGAACATTCTCATCCAAGAACCCATGTAGGAGGAGTAAGCGGTTTGGCCTAGAGGGATAAAAACATTGGAGAATTAGGCAAGACAGAAGACCAGCACAAGAGCTTACTCCTCTAAACCATGACAATTAATGCTGCTGCGCTGTTAGGATGAGGACTCATCATCTTCAGTATTAAATCCGCATCAGATGCTGCATGTAATGAAGAATGGAAAGAAAAGCATGTACTGCTTCTGACTAACACTCACTGCATGCTCTTAGAACACGCTCATGAGAACACCGACACAGACTTTCTTCCACTTTGACACAATTATGGGCTTAATTTCTTTCAGTGTAAGCAAATGCTTCAAACAATTTATAAAAATAAATAAATAAACATAATTATATTAAAAAATTCTCCTCCCCATATAGTATCTGACCTAGCTTTTAGTTTGGCTCTGGGTGACATCCACACCATTTTAGCAGTTTAACAACAGCTAGTGGTAGAACATTTGTCTGCGCAATGGTTTGGGCTCAATCCCCAGCACTGAGGAAGGAAAAAATGAGCATTTTGGTATAGTACTTATAAAACATTAGTTTTAATTTTCAGTATTTAGTTTTTATCATCATTTAAAGCTGCCAGCCTTACTTTTAAAGCACGAACTTACTCTGAGGGAAACTTCTCCGCTTGCATGGCCACAGATCCTAAGTAATAGCCCTGTTCATTCTGGTCAGGGTGACCCATATAGCGCTCCGTGTATCCTGTATCATAGAAGATCCACAGAGTGACTGGGGCCCCAGCAATAGCAACCTGCACATGACAACATGGACAGTCAGCTGTGTCCCAGAGAAGAGTGGCAGCAAAGATGACATACAACTGCAAATGTATAAGCTAAAATTATCCTTGCAAGGCTTCAGTTCCAACTACTGGGCACACGTCTAGGGACACACAGAAACCTGGAGTCGGGTGTCAAGGTCATAAATCTGACACTCGGTGAGTCAATAAGTTTCAGGTCCCACAGGCACACCCCACACCAAGCCCTGAAACTGGGACAGCTGAAATACAAACTGAGTGCCTTTATCCAAGGCAGACACTAAATGAGAGTGTGTGAGGACATCTGTGAAAACCCAGCCCCTACTGGGAGACAGGTGTGAGAACTGCCGACTTCATATACAAAATGCACCATGGTTTCACATTTTTCCCTTTAGACTTTTTTTTTCAAGCAATACAGAATTTAAAACAATTGGACTATACATAAGTAAAACTTGCCTCATTTTAAGGCTTCTATGTAGTTTTATATTTAGATATTCTAATTAACTTTGTTTTTTTAAATAATTTATTTTATTTCCATTAGGGTTTCACAGGCTTCACACATGTATATCTGTGTGAAGGTGTCAGATCTTGGAGTTACAGACAGTTGGGAGCTGCCATGTGTCTGAGAATTGAACCTGGGTCCTCTGGAAGAGCATTCAGTGATCTTAACCTCTGAGCCATCTCTCTGGCCCCTAATTAACTTTGTTTTAAAGATAGTGTTTCATTATGTAGCTCTGGCTGGCCTCAAGCTGGCAACCCTTCTGTTTCTTTGTCCCAGGTCTCAGGATTACAGGTGTGTGCTACCACGCCTGGCTTTTGTGTCCCTAAAGATTACTCCTCGTAAACAGGCCATGATTACACCTGTAATCCCAGCACTCAGAAGTTCAAATCATCTTCAGCCACACAGTGAGTTAGAAGCCAGCCTTAGGGCACAGGAGACTTTGTCTCAAAACAAACCCCCAAAACAAAACAAAACAAAAAATTCTCATGGTAAAATAGATCCATGTTACTGACATAAAAATTACTGCTCTTGGGGCTGGAGAGATGGTTCAGTAGTTAAGAGCACTGTCCGCTCTTCCTAAAGACCCAGGTTCAATCCCCAGCATGCACATGGCAGCTCACAGTTGTCTGTAACTCCAGTTCCAAGGGATTTGACACCTTCATGCTAAGGCACATAAAATAAAAATAATTAAAATTACTGCTCTTTAATTCATATTTTTATAATTTTTTACCCTTAACTATCTACTTGTCTATCTGTGTACGTGGTCACGCTCATGAAAGTCAATTTGTTCTCCTTCCACTGTGGGGCACTGGCCTCGGGTCATCAGGCTTGACAGCAAACACTTCACCTACTGAGCCATCTCACTAGACCTTTTCTTTTTTGAGTCCTGGGGATCAAGCTCAGGTTGTCAGGCTTGGCCTCAGTCTTCCCTACAGAGAGAGACATGTCATCTACACACCCACCCCTATTTTCTTAGTAATTATCATCTTTATGTATCTTCTTTAGTATAAAGTTCCAAGGATGATAAGCATTTAAATATTCAGTTACTTCAACGTGATTTTTTTAGGTGTCCTGGACAATCTCCTGAGACCCGCTGTGTGAAGCACTGCCAGCTGTTGAGGGCACACCAGGGCGCAGGGCAGAGATGTAGTCTAGTAATTAAATAGTGACAAACCAGTAAGTACGTGGGTTTTATTAACATGACTATCGATCTTTGGCGTATATAACTAGTTATAAACTGGTGCCCAATCTGACAAGTGTTTAAAAAGCTATGTTAACACAAAAGATACGTTTTCCATACTGTAAAACACATAAACCCAACATTCTATAATACTGACAATACTTTGAACCTTCAAAAAAAAAAAAAAATCATTTTCATGTGTCTTCACTTAACAGAGAATTCTGTCCAGTTATGAAAACAAGTATAGAGCTAGGCGGTGGTGCATAACTTTGACCCCAGCATGTGGGAGGCAGAGGCAGGCTAATTTCTGAGTTCCAGGCCAGCCTGGCCTACAGATCGAAGTCCAGGCCAGTCAGGGCTACACAGAGAAACCCTGTCTGGGAAAATCAAACTAAACAAACAAACAAACAAACAAGAGGAGCCACGTACCCGGAAGATATCAGACCTCTGCATTAATGCCATCAGGGAGAGGTAGCCTCCATAGGACCAGCCGTGGATGCCCACACGATCCAAGTCAATGAAGTCATACTGAGACGCTAGGTACTGGAGTCCTTCCACTTGGTCATCAATTTCTATTTGACCCTGTCCAAAAAAAGGGAATAGCTCACTGGTTCTGATGTATAAGAGTCTTAGAGAATTCTTCAGGTTTTTACTAAACATTCCTTGAGGGTATTTTTGTTTTCCAGATTAGAGTTAATTAATAACTAATATCTATTTTCCTTCAAGAAATTTAAAACAAAAATGCATCTATACGCAAAGGCCTACTACTTCTGTTTAGATGCCACGAGGTCACCAGTTCTTCCCTGCCACTGCCCACACTGTCCCTAGCTGCGGGTGTCTCCCACTCTATTTGTTCTGTTGTCTGCTAAGAGGCCAGCAACTTCCTTGTAACAAGCCTTCCTCTATCCAAAGACAAAAATTCAGCCCCTTTAAGAGATGAATTTTACTTATCCTTTTAAGTTAGTGCAGTAAAACAAAGGGTATCACCCTGAGGCCCGACTTCCTTTTTCCCAGCGTGTTACCTCTAGCAAGGCTCTTAATTCCTAACAGTACCACCCGAGGTTTCACTTGGCCTGCCAGTGCACACAGTCTCACTTCACTGAGCCAAAACCAAAAATAAAACAACAACAACAAAAACTTACATGAGAATACAACATAAGGTCAAAGAACTGGCTGTGGGAGAGCATCCCATGTCTTACTCAGCATGTCCAACACGCTGGCAACCACAGGGACTGCCTTACTGTGCAAAAGGAACATCGGACTGTCATCATTCCCAAAGCAGCAGAAAGGACCTGGGGCATCTCTAAAAGGTAGCACTTAAAGCTTCCTGCAGAGAGAAAGAGGCTTGTCACAAGGAAGGAACTAACCAGTCGGTTTCCCTCTTCACAGAGGACAGAACAAATCTCAGTTATTCCTCAGCAGTATATGGGACTCTGTAAGCTAAAAGGGTCTGCCTTGTGGTGAGGTGAAAGCACAAACTAGAAAGGGTGTTTTTACGCAGAAGTAGCCCCGCTCAGCTCCTGGGAGTTACATATAGGCAGCATGAGTGAGCCTGATGTAAATCCAACTGTACCTTTCTTCCCACTGCTCAATTCTAACACATTCTCCTTCACTCTGTCCCTCAGGTCCTCCCCCAACACAAATAATGTGTAAGAAAATGAAAACATCTGAAAACAAAGTGTTCTATATTTACACACCATTTTATATTTAAAGGCGCCTTCAAATTTAAGTCCTCGGTGACAGGATCCCCTGTTGTCTATTACCACAACCACATAACCCAAGGAGGCCAGGGTGTTGAGGCGGAAATACTTGACTCCTTTAAACCGATTGTTCACCAGCTGCACCTGAAAAAGAAACACATCTTCAGTGACATTATGTGGCAGCATATAAAACACCAGAGGGAGGGACCCTGCAAAAACCAGAAAGCTGAGTGTTTACTTATTATTATCTTGCCTTTAAAATATAAGTGTGAAATGATACATTTAAAAATTGCTCCATGCTTAGTTTCACTTCAAACCTTTACAGCAAATACCAAACAACTGCAGATTCATTTTAGCTAAAACAATTAAGATTTAAGTAAGTTAAGTTAATCTACTCCACAGAGAAAGTTGATGAATTACCTATTCCAAATAATACCTCATTCAAGTAAAAGTGACAAAGACAATTAAGAACCTCTTCCCTCCCCACTTGTCTCTCCTGGAGCTGCTGCTGAGTGACAGTGGGAAGAGGTAGCATTTTAATGAACACCGTGATCAGTTATCTTTCTCCTGTTATGACAAATTAGTGTAAAAGTATCATGATTTTTAAATCACTTTGTCACCCTGGAGACTACACTTCAGAGTGACCAGGAATGTAAATGTATCTGGTGCTTTATTAGAAACAGAGTTGTAGCTAGTAAAAAGATGAGTAAGTCACGCCCAGCATGATCATGTTTCAGTCAACTCAGGGCACTCATGAAATGGTGGTCCCACGGGATCACAACGGAGCTGAAATTTTCTAATGACAGCACAGCTGGCATGACATGGTGCATTACTCTCATGTTTAGGGTAATGTTAGTAAAAACAAGTCACTGCCTTGCACATGTGACTCTGCACCGGACAATGGCTGGTAACCAGTGACTAGGTTACTGGCGTGTGGGTTTGGTGGTTGTGGGACGGAACAGAGGCCCTGTACTTACCACTGAGCTATAGCCTCAGGTCCTCCTCTCCGCCCCTCCCCCCCGCCCGTGTTTTGGTGGTGGTGGTGTCATTTTGTTTTTAGAGACAGGGCTTCCCTGTGTAGCCCTAGCTGTGTTGGAACTCACTCTGTAGTCCAAGCTGGCCTCAAATTCACATAGATCTGCCTGCTTTGCCTCCTGAGTGCTGGGATTACAGGCATGCACCAGCACAACAAACCCTCAGGTCCCTTTTTACTTTAATTTTTAGATTGAGTCTCACTAAGTTGCCAAGGCTAGACTTGAACTCACTCAGTGGGTGAGTCAGGTTCTGAATCTGCAATCCTCCTGCCTCTGCCTCCACCTCCCCAAAGCTGGCATTACAGGTGTGCACCACCACGTTCAGCTTATACTGTATTTTTTAAATAATGTTTTGGAGTGTCCTCCTGCTAATGATAATGAAAAGAGTTTAGATTTATTTGTGTTGCCCAGTAATGGACTAAATAATTAGTATACTGGAAGTCCTGGGCTCGGTGCCTAGTGCCATACACAAAAAAAGGTTCATATATAAAAAGTGTGGTTCCACTGTGGCGGCCTTGCATATCTCCATGCTGGTTGCATGCCAACATTGCATGAAGAAGTCACAGCAAGCGTGCAGCTAGGTCTGCACAGGCACATACTCGATGAGGCCTGCCCCATGATGAAGTAGTTTAGTGTCATTTCCCTGGGTTGTATAATTAGCAGATGGACACTAAGATAGACACTGAAAAGAGGTTCTGGTAAAAATGAGCCAGGTATGGTGGCACACCCCTTTAATCCCAGCTCTTGGGAGGCAGAGGCGGGCAGATCTATGTGAATTTGAGGCCAGCCTGGGCTTCACATTGAGACACTATCTTAAATAAAGAAAAAAAAGAATGGCTTGGTGGGTAAAAAGCCTGCTGTGTTAAGATAGGTGACCTGAGTTTGATTCCTGGAACCCATTAACGGTAGGAGAAAACTGCACAGTTGTTCTCTGGCCTTCACATGCACACAATGGCACCCCAATACATCAGGCATGCACAGAGAAACACAAACTAATGAGAGGCCCGGGAGGTCAGGTGAACCAATGTCTGAACTTTCAGCTACTGAGGAGGCTGAGGCAGGAAGACCGCTTGAGCCTTGGAGTTCTGGCTCGTCTGGGTGAAAAAGTAGACCTCATCTCAAAATCTAAAAATTGCCCGAGTCACAGTATATCTCATAAACCTATACAATTATTACATTAACTTAAAAACAAAGCAGGGAGAACTCTTAACGAAAGCGGCTGTGTCACCTCCTTGGCCACAGCGCTGTGTGAGGCTCTTCTCTCACTGAGGCACTGTGCTGCAGCTCCCTGCAACTGAGGAGCTTGTGTATTCTCTCCTATGCACAGCTGCTACCACGTACTCTGTGAAATAGCCATTCAAATATTTGATTTTAAAAGCCCATTTATTAACACACATAAGCAGCATTAATGGACTTGGAGTTACTAACAACAAAAAGAGGAGCTACCCACATGCTAATTACCTGTGAAAGCACCCAGGGGCGAGGGGACAGTTCTGGGGCTTGTTCTTATTCCACTGTGGCTAGGAAATCTTGGACTGTCAGGCTTGCACGTGTGACAAACCCATCTACCTGCTGAGCCATCTTGCTGGCTGAAAGGTTTTCTTACCTTTTTTTTTTACATCTACTTGCCCCTACTTCCAGAGTGCTGGGATCAAAGATATATGCCACCATACTTGGCCTGCTAAAGGTTTTAATTTTTATGAAGTCTAACTTGCTAGTTTTTCTAGTAGAATGCTGAAAAGAGCTAAGCATAGTTAATCAGTGAGAGACGGGGGAGGGAGCAAGCGCCCACTCTGCCCTTTCTGCGTTCTCTGTCTAGGCCACTGCAACAGCTGCAAAACTGGCCTGTTTCTAGCTTCATCCTCCATAGTTTGTCTCTTCAGGCAGAAATAGTGATATTTTCAACATGTGAAATATGCCCAGCTCCTTCCTACTGCTACCGTCATCTTTCAATAGATAGATAGATAGATAGATCGATAGATACACAGATCGATAGATGGGATAGATGACACTTCTCCACTTTGGCACTTGGGGCTGAACCTAACCTCACATATGGCAGGCCAGTGTTCTACCACTAAGTTGAGCCCTATCTCAAGATGGCCTCTGTGGCCTTGGGTGATCTGAGTCTATTGCTCCCCTCCCTACTGTGGTCTAAGCTCCACCCTGCACCAACAGTATCAAAGGGTCTTAATCCAGAACCTTGTTTATCGTTCCTTCTGCCTGGGAGAAGGCTTAACAGAACTCATTTCTTCTCACTGTGTACAAAATAAGATCTCTGCTACTATTTTTAGAATAAGTGATTAGAAAATGGAAATACAAAAAGTGTTTTTCTTTCCTATCTCAGCAATAAGGAATTTGCTAGGTAAAAGCATTTTTGTTTCTTCCCTCCTTTCTTATTTTGAAACAGGGTTTCTTTGTGTAGCCTGGCTGTCCTGGAACTTGCTCTGTGGACCAGGCTGGCCCTGAACTCACATAGATCCTCCCATCTCTGCCTCCCAAGTGCTGGGATTAAAGTCACATGCCACCACTACTCAGCAGGTAAAAGTATTTTTAAAAGGAGAGAACAGGAAAGGGCACGGTGGCCCATGCCTGTGATCCCAGCACTCAAGGAGGCAGAGGCAGGTGGATCTCTGTGAGTTCAAGGCCAGCCTGGTCTACAGAGCATCCAAAATAGCCAAGGCTACAACCTCCCCCACACCAAAAAAAAAGAGAGAGAGAAAGAGAGAAAGAAAGAAAGAAAGAAAGAAAGAAAGAAAGAAAGAAAGAAAGAAAGAAAGAAAGAAAACAGGAAAGGAGAGAGGACAGATAAAGAATTGCAAGGCTCTGGTGTAGGAATGAGGAAGAAGGTCCCCCACAGACTTATATTTGAATGCTTGGTCCCTAGCTGGCAGAACTGTTTAGGAAGGATTAGGAAATTTGGCCTTGTTGGAGGAAGGCGTTGAGATTTTAAAGCCCATGCTATTAGCTTTTTCTCTGCCTCTTCCTTATGCATCATGATGTAAACCCTGAGCTACTGCTCCAATGCTATGCCTGTCTGCCTGCTGCCCTCTTCTTTACCATGATGGTCATGATCTCACCCTCTGAAGTCCTAAGCAAGCACCCAATGAGATGTGTCCTTTTGTAAGCTGCCTTGGTCATGATGCTTTGTCAGAGCAATAGAAAAGGAGCTAAGACAGAGGCATAGAACACATTTTAAACAGTTTAGAAAATGATCTCACTTCTTTCCTCGTTATTACAAAGATAGCCTCAATTGTCTGATGCAGACCCCCCTGCCCCCGTGAAAGGCTTGCCTTTGCAATCTGGAGGCCTTCTGTTTCTCTAAAAAGGGATCTGAGCATAACTGGGAGGAGCCCAAACTATCTTCTTCAGTATCAATCAATTCTCCAAATTCCAATGCTATTATCTAGTTTGATCTGTTTTAAAACATTTTATTGTATATATTATATACTATAAACACACATATATAATGTATACAGACAAACTGTTTACATTTATGTGTGTGTGAAAACACATGAAGGTCAGAGGACAACTTGAAGGAGTCAGCTTTCTTCTTCCACCGTGTGGGTCCCTGGGATAAAACTCATGTTGCATGGCTTGGCAGCAAGCGCCTGTACTACTAGATAAGCCATCTTGCTGGCCCACCTGATCTTGTTCTCATTTCTGTTTGTACAAGAATATCTGGCATATTTTAGAAAACACAAGTATTTGTTAAATAAACATTTACATATTGCTGGGCATGTTGGCTTATACTTGTAATTCCAGCACTCAGGAGGCAGAAGCAGGTAGATCACTGCAAGTTTGAGGTTAGCTTGGTCTACATGAAGAGTTCAAGGATACTCGCAAAACCTGTCTCAAAACAAGCACCCCTCCTATTTATTTATTTACTATAAATAAAATATTGGCATTGTAGCTGTTTAAATGATACACATTCTAAGAAGGAACATGGTCTGGGCCTCAGGCCACTGCACTCCTGTAGGATCAAGTGTTTTATAAGATTATCATGTGCTAACAAAAATTTGATTTTGCATTAAGAATTCTCTTCATGATTAACCCACAAGGATTCAAGCAAGATGTACGATCTTCCAGGGGGCTGAGGCGCCAGAGGCTGTAAAGCAGCTCACGGAGAGCTCTCCTGGCTAACTCGCTACCAGATCACTCTATCAACCAAATCTGCATGTTCCCCAAGAGCATGCTAGAAAGGAAATCAACAAATCATCACGTCACGTCTTTTAAAATACAACACGTAGACGCGTAGCATTTCAAATGCTGATTTCATTAAGAGCATAAAAGCATAGTTGTAGTTGTTAATCCTCAAAGAATTAAAATTGAGGTGGTGATAATTTCATTATAGTAAAATAGACACAAAATTTACCATTGTAAGTATGCAACTTCAGTGGCATTAAACACACAGTCCAGGCGGTGCACAACCAAAACCATTAGCCATTTCCACAGCCTTTGCCCATTTCAGGTGCCTCATGCAAAGGAAACAATATACTTATCCTCTATGAGGTTATCTCACTGACTGCAGTGTCCTTGTGCTTCATATGCTGAAGCAAGTGTCAGTTTCCTTTTTGAAATTAAAAAACCGAAAAACCAGCTATTATCTTTCTGTGTATGTGGGTGTGTGCACAGGTGAGAAGAGGGAGTTGGCTTTTCATCCCACCAGGTGTCCATAGAATGAACCCCGGGTGGCAGGCTTGGCAGCAGGCTCCCTGACCTACTATACCACCTTGCTGGCCCAGTTTCTCCCTTCCTAAGAACAAATAACATTTCATTACATTTAAAAAATTTTTTTCCAGACAGTTTCTCCTTGTAGCCCTGGCTGTCCTGGAACTCATTCTGTAGACAAGGCTGGCCTCAAACTCAGAAATCCACCTGCCTCTGCCTCTGCCTCTGGAGTGCTGGGATTAAAGGTGTGTGCCACCAAAGCCCGGCCCATGTTTAATACTTTGTGTGGTACATATGCCATGGTGTGGTGTGTAGTCAGACTAGTTCCTGAAGCCCACAGTTTCAAGCCCACATGGGTCCTAGAAATTGAACTGAGGTTGTCAGGCTTGGACGCAAGTGCCTCTACCCTCTGATCCATCTTTCTCACCAGCCCCCATTTTCTGCTTATACTGTATTTTGTTTACCCATCTGTCATAAGATGCTTGGGTTGCCTCCAGCTCCTGGTCAGTGTATATATGGGAATAAACACCTCTCCCTATATTTGCTTTCATTTCTTTTAGGTACGAATGCAAAAGTAAACAGATGATTCTCTGTTTGGCTTTCTGAGGAGCCACTATACTATTTGTGTAGTGGCCACTTCATTTTATGTTCCCACCAACACTGGATTAGTGTTCCAATTTCTCCATATCTTGCCTAACACATTCCCTTTAATGGCGTAATAGATGTGAATGCTAATATCCCTGTGGTTCTGGGTTGCATTTCCCTGATGATTAATGATAACAGGCATCTTTTATGGTTAAATTTTTTAATTCAGTTACCTACATACAGTCTTTTGGTCTTAAAATCTAGTTTTGATACTAAGTCTCATAAAGCGCTACTATCAGGCTAGAGAGATGGCTCAGAGATTAAGAGCACGGGTTGTTTTTCTTTTTTTTTTTTTTTTAAGATTTATTTATTTATTTTATATATGTGAGTACTCAATCTGTATGTACACATGCACACCAGAAGAGGGCATCAGAGCCTAGTGTAGAGGGTAGTGAACCACCATGTGGTTGCTGGGAATTGAACTCAGAACCTCTAGAAGAGCAGACAAGGCTCTTAACCACTGAGCCATTTCTCAGTTTTTTTTTTTTTTTTCAAAGGTTCTGAGTTCAATTCTCAGCAACCACATGATGGCTCACAACCATCTGTAGTAAGATCTGGTGCCCTCTTCTGGCATGCTGGCAAAATACTATATAAATAATAAATCTTAAAAAACAAAACAAAACAAAACAAAAAAAACACCTATATCCTTGACAATACTTGTTATTTCCTGTTTTCTTGTTTTTATGTGTGTTTTCTTATTTTTTATTTATATGGGCTTGTTTGTTTTTCTTGGTTTTCCTAAAACAGACTGGTGAAGAACTCAGAAATCTGCCTGCCTCTGTCTCCCTAATGCTGGAGTACAGGCGTGCACCATCACAACTTGCTAAGTTTTATGTTTTTAACAGAAGTCTAACTGATATCGTTCCTGATGTATACCATAGCTATAACGCAGGCTCTCGTCATTTGCTTATGAAACACTGTTAATGATGGCAAATGATCTAACACATATTTAACATAATAAGGCTCACTATCCAGAGAGCTGATGACTGTGCTGGTTCACTTTCACCTAACTTTTTGTACAGTATGATGTTTAGATGTACCAGAGAGTAAATAATTGAATGTAATTATAAAGGATATTATAAGTCCAAGAATGACATTATAAAAATGCTCTAATTATATTCAAATTTATTTAAGGACTCAATAGAAAAATCTATATAACGAGGCATAAATTCATATTTTAAATTCTACTTTACTTTTTGTGGTGCTGGGAATTGAATCTGGCACAAAAGCACAGAAAAACCTGGCAGCTCCCCATGCACAGTGCTTCATTTAACTACAGCATTTATTCAGCAGGCACATCCTAGTACGCTGAACTCACTGTGCAGAGATCAGAGAAGGATGCTCCCAGGCCTCCTGCTCTGTCAGTCTTTTGCCTTATTCCTTTGAAACAGGGTCTCTCATTGAGCCCGGAACCAGGCAAACCTAGCAATCCTCCTGTCTTCGCCCCCACAGTCTGAGGGTTCTGGCACATATACCCACACACAGCTTTTTACATGAGTGATGAGATTAGAACTCATGTCTGCACAGCTAATGCTCTTACTCACTTGCTGAAAGCAATCTTCCTGCTTCTGTGGCCTGGCCTGAATGCTGGGATTATAAACGTGTATTACCATGCCTATCCTTAAGATTCTATCTCAACTGTCTGGACATTTAAAATAAAAGTACAGGGGGCTAGAGAGATGGCTCAGAGGTTAAAAGCACTGACTGCTCTTCTGAAAGGTCCTGAGTTCAGTTCCCATCAACCACATGGTGGCTCACAACCACCTATAGTGAGATCTGGTACCCTCTTCTGGCACGAAGATGTACATGCAGGCAGAACAATGTATACATAATAAATAAATCTTAAAAAATAAAATAAAAGCACAGCTGGAGAGATGGCTCTATGGTTAAGAGCACTGGCTGCTCTTCCAGAGGGCTCAGGTCTGATTCCCAGCACTCCCATAGTGGCTCACAAATGTCTGTAACGCCGATTTCAGGAGATCTGGCATTCTGAACTCTGCAGGCACCAGGCATGCACACGGTGCACAGACATACATGCAGACAAAAATACTCCTACATGTAAAATAAAAATTAGCTAAAAATATAAATGTATATATTTATGAGTTTATATGCTTCTATAAACTCATGTCGATAGGTGACTATATGTGAATATATTATTATTCACATGCGTTTGTTACTCACCTGGGGACCACCATATATGAAGAGCACAGTGGGGTACTTCTTTCCGGGCTGCAGGTCATGAGGCTTATACAGCATTCCATACAGTGTAAATCCAGTAGTACTTTCAAAAGAAAAAATTTCTGGAGGGGTGTAGTCAGGAAGAGGACCTGTGGGTAGCAACAGAGCCGTAAAGAAGTTCTCAGAGGAGTTCTGCCACCTGAAGTAAAAAAAAAGAAAGTATGGAAACCTAGCTCCCTTCCCAACAACTACTATCTCTCTCAGGGAAAATAAGCCTGTTTACAATGAACAGGCTTTTTTTGTTTTTTTGAGACAGGGTTTCTCTGTGTAGCTTTGGCTGTCCTGGACTTGCTTTGTAGACTATGCTGGCCTCAAACTCACAGAAATCCAACTGTCTCTGCCTCCCCGAGTTCTGGGATTAGAGGCATGTACCTCTGTGCCCAGCAATAAACAGGCATTTTTAAAACAAAAGGAATGATACCAAATTGTCATTTTCAGATACAGACACACTGAGTCTTGACAAGGTATTTAGGTGCAAAACTAAGGAATTCTAGTGCGGAGTTCAGTCCCATCGGTAGTTAAAGTACACACTCGACCAGCAACAGGCGTGCATTTCAGGACAGCTGTGGGCAGCGAAAAGGAAAGACCCTTATATTTAACTTAGTCTCACCAAAGCTCTATTATCCTCTCCTCAGTGCCTGTTGCCATGATGTCACATCAAGCAGAGGGTATCACCATATTACCAGCTGGGCTCCTGAACTTTAAAATCCATACAAACCCTTTGGTCTGCAGTAGCTTAATTTTTTTAAAATTCTTACTCTTATTTTTTTTTTTTAATAATTTTAGTTATTTTTATTTTTTATGGACATTGGTGTTTTACCTACATGTGTGTCTGTGTGAGGATGTTGGATCTGCTAGAACAGGAGTTAAAGACAGTTGTGAGCTGCTATGTGGTTGCTGGGAATTGAACTCGGGTCCTCTGGAAGAGCAGCCAGTGCTCTTAACCGCTGAGCTATCTCCCCAATCCCCTTACTCTTATTTTTATTATTTTAAAAGACAGCGTCTCTCTACGGAGCCCTGGCCATCCTGGACCTGTAGATCAGGCCGGCCTCTAGTGCACATTGATCCACCTGCCTGTCTCCTGATGGCAAAGATTAAAGGTATGTGACACCCCCCAGCTCCTTATTATTATATGTGTGTGTTTCCTAAGATATCTATGTGTGTGGGGCATGTATGAGTGCTAAGGTTCCTATGCCTGTGCACACTTACAGACATCAGGTGCCCTTCCTCGACTTTCACCTTATTGCCCCTGAACAATCCCTGAATCAGAAGCTTGTATTTCTGCGAGGCTGACTAGCCATCAGGCTTCTGGGATTCACCCCTGCACTCTCTCCAGTGCTGAGTTACAGGTGCATAGCAGCCTGGCTTTCATACAGGCGCTTGCGGTTTGAACTCAGGCCCTCGCTGTAGGACGGCAAGCACTCTTACCCACCAAGCCGTCTCCCAGCCCCACATTAATGCTTTAATCTCTTGGTCAAAAGTAATGAGTGAAGATACTTGACATGAAAATAGCTTTGAAAATAAAATTATTTAAAAGACACATAAAACAAGTCTATTCTTTACATTTAAGAAATTCTAGGGGCTGGCAGGGTGGTGGTAGCAAACACCTTTAACCCCGGCACTCAGGAGGCAGAGGCAGAAGGATCTCTGAGTTCAAGGCCAGCCTGTCTAGCCTCTATGGGCACACACACACACACACACACACACACACACAGTCACATACATAGAAATAAATTTAAAAAGAAAAAGGATTGCGACAGGTGGTCTTTTCAGTATGTGAGGGATTTTCTGGCTGACATTAGCTGCGGAGGACCCACCCTAACTGTGGATGGTGCTGTTTCGGCTGGGGACCCTAACAGAATAGAAGAGAAAGGGAGTCAAGCAGCTGAGGCCATCTCTCCTTGCTTTCTGGCTGTGAGTGCAATGTGACCAGTCACCTTAGGCTCCTGTCACTGTAACTTCCCTTCATTCTGGATTGTACCTTGTACCGTGAGTCAAAATAAACCTTCCAAAAATTGTTTTTGTCAGGTATTTTGTCACTGCAACCTGTAAAGTAACTAATACAGAAAGAAAGCATTTAAAAAAAATGATCAAAAATGGATCAGCTCATGTCTGAAATAACGGCACTTAGGAGGCCAAAACAGGAAGACTGCTGAGTTAAGGCTAGCCTGGGTTCCATCCATATTAAGGTCAAGCCTGGGTTACAGAGTGAGAGCCTATCTTTCCCACAGTAAGCAAGTGTGCCACTGCAAAGACTTGAAACTTTCAAAAGCAGCCAACTGGTTATTCTTTAAAGTGCCATCCTCTCTGCTTAAAGAGTATTACTGGTTTCGAATATATGATCTCAATCTGCTTTTCAAAAAGGCTTTCCAGACATGCTCCTGCTTGGACGAGAGGCAACCCAACTCATTCAGCAGGTGACACAAGAGGAAGTGAGGTCCACCTGAAGCTCAACAGCTCAGGGACAGGCAGGACTGAGCAATGGAAAGACAGCTCAAGAGACATGGACAACAGGACACTGTGGTACCAATCCTAGTTAAGCTCTGGTTCAGGGGAATGGATACCTGCTGAATCCAAAATGGTGGCCCAAAATTCCTTTGTTTTATGAACTGGGTCATCTTCAGGACTTGAGAGTTTGTAGAGGGACACGCAGTGCGGATTCTTCTGGTTGCTGTACTTACTTATAAAGAAGTCACAATGCTAGAGAAAAAAGAGACAACAATGGCTTTCCAAAGGAAAGGCAAGGAAGGCTACCAGTGGCTACACAACAATGCTGCGGCAAGAGGGCAAAGAACTTGACAACTGATGCAAACACACAATGCTTTTCCTAGACAAGGCTTCTGTGGGCCACTGTCACCAATTTTCACGTTCCTCAAAAGGAATGGCATGTGAACACAGGCTTCTCTATGGCAGGGTCCCCACCAGCTGAGACACAGTACCTGGCTGAGGCAGCAGGAGTGCGAGTAGCCGCGGTCAGTCAGCCTCACCACTTCACCAGGGTTTGCGTAACTGCTCACATACAGGTGATGCTCCAAAGGAGAGTCTTTGGTGCCTTCAAAGTACACCAGCTTTCTGGCTTCATCAACCCAGATCTGCAAAAAGCAGCACAAATCAATACTAGCACAGTTCTGACAAGGCCAATGACACACAGATCTTGCACAGATTCACCTCTTGTGCACAGTCCTGACTTGGGCTTCTTTTTATTTTGCTACCAGTGATAATGTGAGCTGCTTTTGCTTATGGCTAAAAATTGATCTTATCTAGAAAGGAAAAGGCTGAGTTATACACTTTTGGGATAATATCCTGATCTACTGCATTGTGTACTTTCCCTAAAATAAGAGACTTATTTCCTTATAGAAAATCCCTAAGGGGGAAACACCCTAATCACACCTCACTGCCCACTTGGAAAACATCAACTCTCTTTCTTTCCTACAGTCAGCACACTGTTAGCTTAGTGCTCTTTTAGATCTTTCCGACAAAGTTACAAAAGTGTTTCATCTATGGGGTTGAGAAATGACTGGAATCAAGCAACTTCAGCACAGTGTAGTTTATAAACAAATAAGGGCAAAATTTATTGTAAGCATTGGCACGGGATAAGATCCAGGGTCCCCAACTGAGGATACCCTCTTTTAGGTTACCATCTGAAATTAAATTTACTTTATATTCTCTCCAAACTACAGCAATCTAAATAAATGGTTTTCTTTCAGTGTTACTTTAAAAATATTCTACTAGCCTAATGAAAATTTATTAGAATTTGAAATGTTTTATAGAGATAAAGGAGATTCTGAAAGTATTTTAAGTGTCTTTCTCTCATACCCACACACCCTTCAATATTAACTTTTTAAAGCAGGTTCATCCATTCCTAATGAACTAAATGAGCTAAATCTGCCTTTCTAACGTGCTCCAAGCAATTTGCACGTCCCACTTTTCCATCTGAGACCTCACTGAGTAAGTTACAGGGGCTTAAGCCTGACAGCATTTCTCAGTTGTTGCTGTGAGAAGTCTGAGTGGAACAGAGTGGCTTGTGAATGCTGAGGAGGAAAAAGACAACACAGAGACAAAAAATAGAGCAAACGTACAAAAAAGTCAGGAAGGATTTGAGAGGAATGAACATGTCACAAAAGTTAGTTCTGTACACGGTGAATAGCAATCCTTCTGCTCATTTTGGAGTTAGTGTCACGGTCACACAGTAGTTCTCAACTCCAACTACTCAATTCATAACATTAAAAAAAAAATTGAGTATGTGTCTGACTGGTGTGTGTGTGTGTCTGTGTGTGTGTGCATGCAAGTGTGCCACAGCATGCATGTGGCAAATGAAGGACAAAATGAGGGAGCCACATCTTTCCACCGTGAGGGTTCCAGGAATCCACCTCTGGCTGTGTGGCTCAGCAGCAAGTGACTTTACTTACTGGGGCATCTCGGTGGCTCAGGAAACTTACCTCAGGGTAATTTCTGTTATTAGAACCTAGAATTCCAAAATGACATTCAAGGCTTGCCTGCTCTACAGGCAGAGTGAAGTTCCAGGCCAACCTGGGCAACTTAGCAAGACCAACCGAAAAATAAAAATACAAAACTAGCTGGGATGCAGCTTCACACTGGAGTACTTGCTCAGCACTTTTAAGCTGAGTCCATCACCAGTACTGACCAAAAAACCCAACAACAAATCCTCTCATTGAAGTGTTACAGAAAAACCACCCGCTCAGAGCAAAGCTCTTCCTTGTTCACCTAAGCTTAAAAGATCAAATCTGTGATATAACAGATGAATGAAAGAAAATTTCTACCTCAGGAATGCTAAATACAATCTCCAATATAAAAACATGAACAGTCTAGCATGCCTAAAAAATAATTTTCAGATTATTTGCTAACTCACAACTGATTAAACCGTAAACATACAAATTGTTTCCTTACTAAATGGCAATAATATATTTGAAAATGGTGATCTTGGTTTGGAATGGTGGCTCAGTGCTTAAAACCACTGGCTTCTCTTCCATAAGACTTTGGTTCAATTCTCAGCAGCTGCATGGAGCTCACAACTGTTTGCAACTCCAGTTCTAGGAGATCTGACACTCTCTTCTGGCCTCCACAGCCACCAGACATGTACGTGATACACAGACATACATGTAGTCAAAACACTCATACACAAAAATATATATAATAAAATGACTGAAAATAGCAGTCTTCAATAACTAGAATGCATCTTATGACTACAGCCATAAAATAGGTGAGCTTTATAATTTAAAATAAGTTTTTTAAAGATAGGCTCGTACTATATATTGGGTGTCCTGAAACTTGCTGTGCAGACCAGGACGGTCCCAACCTCACAGAGACTCACCTGTCTGTGCCTCCCAAATGCTGGAAGTAAAGGTGTGCGTTACTGCACCTCGATTAAACTAAGACTTTCCTTTGTGACAGCTTGAATTCTTCTAGGCCCTAACTTAATACTGTACAACACTGGGGTCATGTGCATGTGTATACACACACACACACACACACACACACACACACACACACACACACATATACATATACATATACACGCATATATATACGTGTGTGTGTGTGTGTGTTGCATTATTCATTATTTCTGCACTGCATACACAGAGCAGAGGCTGACCAAACATAGCAGTAGAATAAAAAGACATACATTGGATCCATGCCGGCCAAGTACTTCCCATTCACCACTGGTAATTGCTATTTCCTCTTTGATAGGACACTTGAAATCACCTGAAGAGGAATACAATTAAAATTCAGTACTTTATTCCAGACCATTAGCAAATGAAACAATATAGAAAAGTTTTCTAAACTGTCTTTTCCAAAAAGCTGCAATAAAACATAAACATAAACAAAATCATCAATGCTAGGTTTGAGTTAATGAAAACATTTTGGAACTAGATAAAGACAATGGTTGATAATACTGTATTAAAATGGTATTAAGTTATTTCAAATGGTTACTAAAAATTACAGCTAAAAACCCAACTAGGCATGGTAGCACACACCTTTAATCCCAGCACTTGAGAGGCAGGGGCAGGTGCATCTCTGTGAGTCTAAGGCTAGCCTGGTCTTCATAGTTAGTTCCAGGACAGCCAGGGCTACACAATAAAACCCAGTCTCAAATAAACAAACAACAAACCCAAGTTATGAGGTTTCAAAATAATTCAAGAATAATGACAAAAACAAAAACAAAAACTCATGCAGAAATAGTGAAAACAAAACAAAACAAAAAAATAGATCCTCTGAGACAGGGTTTTAATATATAGTCCTAGATGGCCTGGAATTGGCTATGCAGACCAAGAGCTGTCCTGGAACTCACAGAGATGCACTTGCTGCTGCCTCCTGAGTGCTGGAATCAAAGGACTATGTCACCGCATCTGATCCAAATAGATTCTAATGGTAAAACCTGAAAAAAAAAAAAAAACAAAAAAAAAAACGCTTGCCTTCTTGGTTACTGATCCAACATGGAGGTTTACTAAGCTGACAAGGCTTTTGTTCTGGAAATTCAACAAACCACTTTAAAAGCAAAGAAGAAAAATTGTAACACAACTCTTTCATTTGCCAAAAAATAAACTGGCTGTTTTTAAGCACACTAATGTCAAATGCCCCCTATGCCTGCATGAGAGTGTCTGGATGGAGTCTCCTCAGAGGAAGAGACAGAAGGATGAAAATCACTTCTCTCCTGCAGCTGCTTACATCTCTGACTGTACAGAGTCACAGCTAAGGATGGTGAGTTAAGAAAACAACTTAATTTTTTTCTGAGATGCAGAAATGTAGCTTGCTACTTTATGAACAAGAAATGACACATATGTAATATGTCTCTAGGGCATAACTAGAGTTTCACATTATAGCCACAAAAGGGAGAAGACAAGACAGAGAAAGAAAAAACAGGTGAAAATAATTACAAAGTAATAATAATAATAATAATAATAATAATAATAACAACAACAACAGATTCCAGGATACCTCATTGCTTCAGAGGTATGGTTTTAGTTCTTTATTTGTTCTTTATCTGTGAGTGAAACTACTCCTGAGAAACAGAGGAACTAGTAAGGCAATTTTAAGTCCAGGGCTAAGCTAAGCTCAAGCTCATGGAAAGAAATTCTGTTTGGAATAAATAAGACCTTGTCTATCTTTAATGGAAACTGAATAGTCACATGTAGTATTTTCGTGGTTGGTTCCAAGCACACTGCTCCCCAAATGGCAGTTATTAAAAGACCATTCAGAAAAAACTTGAATAGCTATTTTTCTCAACAGGATATATAAATGGCCAATATGTCCATGGGAAGTACTTGATTCCCCTCATCCTTATCCTGTGTCAAAACTATAATGATACGCCTCTTCAGGCTGGCCGTGGTGGCACATGTGTGAGGCCAGCTACTCAGTCACCACCTCAGCCTGTCTCAAACTAAAACCCAAAAAGAGCGAGGGGTGGGGCCCAGAGACGAGCCTTAGGTCCTGTCTCTAGTACAGCACGCATGTGTCTGCACACAAATGGACGCCACTTTACATGTACTGAAGCGGCCATTTAAAAACTAACCTCACAGCGAAGTGATGCACACCTTTATCTCAGCACTCAGGGGGAAGAAGCAGGTGGATCTCAGCGAGTTCAAGGCCAGCACGGTCTAACAGAGTGCCAGGACAGCCAGGACTATACAGTGAGACCCTGTCTTGAGAAAACTAAGAAAAATAAATAAATAAACTCACAACAACAACAAAAAAGAACAATAAACATACACACGTGAAAGCAAGAAAACAGAAAATAACAAGTACTGTCAACGGCATAAAGAAATAAACCTTGAGCTGAGTGGTAGTGGTACATACCTGTAATTTTAGAATATGTGCTGCCAAAGCAAGCACATGCAGGCTCATTTTAAGCTAATTAAAAATTGTAATTAAGGCAAAGTGTCATAAAAATAGGTATTCCAACTACTCAGAGATTACCCACTATTAATAGCAATACATTTATTAAGTTTACTGAAGCAAGTACTAACCCTTAGAAGAATACAAAAAAGACATTATGGCCCTGAGATGGCTCAGCGGGCAAGGTCCTAACAGCAGGTCTGATGCTCTGACTGACCTGAGATCACAGAGGACGGGCAGAACTGACTCCCACAGCTGCCCTCTGACCGGCACATGCTTGCCCCAGGGTGCACATGTGCAAAACAAATAGGATGTAAAGGCATCAAATACACAGAGAAGTAAGACTTCTTACCTGGGGCAGGCAGTCCACCACCGGATCGCTTATATTTGCTCTCCTTTAAAATGGATGTGATTTTATACAAATGCCGAAAACCTGTTTTGCATTCAGAGGCAAAAATAAACTCAATTTCATCTTCATGAGTTTGAGGGAAAACATGAAAGATATCGTGGATCTGTAAAATGAATAACTTAATTCACTATATGCATTAATAAACATGCTACATACATAATCAAATGAGAGAAGGAAGGGTTACTTGAAGTACAGACATCGGTGGGTGCAGAGGATATGGTACACTTAACAATAACAGGTTTTTGCCTGGCCTTTTACACTTATTTTACTTTAGACAAAGACTTCACACACTGAGAAGTAAACATTTCCAAATGGAAGAAAGCAAAAAGAACATGACCAAGGCTTCTACTTTCCATCTCTGTAATCTCTGACGCATATAAAGCTTATGCAATGGTATAAATCTTACTACCCAGGCAAGGAGAACAACATGCTTTGCTTTTGTTTTCCAAAGAGAACTATTCTAAAACTTGAAGGAAAACAGATCTGTTTTGGCTGAATCACAGGAAGCTTGCTCTTAACTACAGAGAGAAAGAAATGTTTTTATTTTATATCTAATTTTTATGTTAAAATGGAAAATGTAAAACTTAATTAAAAACTAGTATATTCGGTATAGTTTGCTAACTTAAATGGAGTTTCTAGACACAGCTCTTGAAAGTCCTCTCAGAAGCGCAGAAGCTGTAGCTGAGGCTGTGGGCTCACTATCTGGTGTGTGCAGAGCCACATCTGTAGTCACCAGTGGGCTGCCACGGCAATACCATCTACTTTCTGCTGTGAACTACTCCATTCTGGAACCATCATTCCAACTCAAAGTGTTGACGCTAGCTTGCTATACAACTTCATCTGTCTGAGCATGCTGAGAAAACACACAGCCAGGTTCAAGAAACAGAACCATACATTTATCCAGATGTCTGTTGTTTCTTCATAGATGACCAGTGGTGTCACAGAGTCAGGAACTGACTCAACAAGTCTCTGTCTGTCCATAGCATCGTCTTCTACGGGGATGAATAACTCAGGGGGCATCAGAACTATCTGCAGGTGAGTCTGGGAGCGATCCAGCAGGATGGACCAGGCACTGTTCACACGAACAAAAAGAAATCAGGGATAAAACAAGTTCTTAGAAAAATGAATAACCTTCTGTTCTCTTCCTTGGTATCTATCAATTTTATTTATTATTATTTTTTTTTAAAGACAGGGTCTCACTATGTGTCCCCTGGCTGGCCTGAAACTCAACATGGAGATCAGGCTGGCCTTGAACTCACAAAAATCTGTGTGCCTCTGCTTGCTGAGAGCTATGATTAAAGGTGTGTGCCACCACATACAACAATTACTTCTATAGTCACAATACAGTACATTTATGCTTACAGGATGGCAAATCTACACATTTACAGAGTTCAGGGAAAAGACCTGAGTGGAAATGACACAGTGCCAATTTACAGGGGAAGGTAAAGCCTACAGCACTGACATTCTAAAGCTCTGCATCCTAAATTACTTGTAATGAAGTGACAATTTAACATACGCACTATTTTCCCTCTGGAGTCCATCCAGCTCTGGCAATATATTCAACTCCTTCAAACAGAATCTCAAAAGGTTGAACCAGTTCTTTATCTATGACATCTATAACCTAGCAAGAAGAAAAGGGAATATAGTTACAGAAGACAGAGAAAATAGCATGCTCACTAGTCTCCTTATATCACCATCTTTTCAGACACAGTACTTGGAAGGGCACGAAGTGAACGGGAAAACTGCTAGTCAGTTGAGGGTTTCCTGAGCTTATGTTTTCTACACCCAGGAAAATTCTAGGATGAGCACTGACATGATCTCACTGTCCTCCTGAGGGTTTGCACTAACAAAGCCCTTGATAATAAATGGCAGGCTCAAGTTTTGCTCACTTTAGTTCTAGAGTCTAGGAGAAGTTGACAGTACTTAAATCACTATATCTTAACCTAAAATATATTTGTGTGATATATGAATGAAATGGACTTGGTAGACAAGCATTTTTTTCCTTTAAAAGTTTAGCGAGCACAACTCAAAAAATAAGCCAATGGAAAAAAAATAGTCAAAGAAACTGAATAGTCCTTCAAAGAAGCCACTTAAGAGGCCAATAAATATTGGAAACATTAGCCACAGGGAAATGTAAATTGAACCACAATGAACTATGGCTTCTAAGTGGATGGCTGTGACAACCAAAATGGACAAATGCAAGTGTTAGGATGACGTGGAGAAACTGAAGCCCTCATAGAGTGCTGGTGGGAATAGAATGTTCATAGCAGCTTGGCGGCACCACAAGGATTAAGTAGAGCATTATCACATGGTGCAACTGTTGTCTCAGGTATGCCCCAGGGAAACAAAACCGTAGCCCTTTAAACACTCTTGCATACCCGGGTGTACACACACTCACGGCAGTCTCTCTCCAGCCCCTCATTTGTGCTCTCTCAAGAGATAGTCACACTGTAAAGCCCAAGCTGGCCTCCAACATGTGATGCTCCTGCCTCAGCCTCCTGCAGAGAGGCATGGCTGGGATAACAGGAATGTGTCACTTATCTGTCTTCATGACATCTCTCCTTTTTTTTCCCTTCTTTTTCTTTTTCTTTTTTTTTTTTTTTGGGGGGGGGTGGGTTTCAAGAAAGGGTTTCTCTGTGTAGCCTGGCTGCCCTAAAACTCAGAGATCTGACTGCCTCTGCCTCTCAAGTGCTGGGATTAAAGGTTTGTACCACTACCACCTGGCTTGATAACTTCCCTTTTAAAAGCAAAAAAAAAAAAAAAAAAAGGATAACCCAAATACCCATCACTGATGAACTGGTAAATAAAATGTGATATATCACACACAGAGATAATCCTCAGCGATAAGAACTAAGGGGATGGGCGGATGCTCAGCTGGTAAAGCACTTGCCTCACAAGCACGAAGACCTGATCTCCAGCACCCACATAAATGGCAGGCATAGAGGCATAGCAGCACTGTGCTGTCTCAGCACTGGGGAAGCAGAAACAGGAGGAACCCTGTAGCTTGCTGGCTGGCCAGCCAGTCTAGTCAATCAGTGAGTTCCAGGTGCAATGAGAGATTGTATCTCAAAAAATAAAATGGAGGGTGGAGAGAGGCTTAATGGTTAAGAGTACTGGCTGCTCTTTAAAGGATCTGGGTTCAATTTCCTGCACTGATGTGGTGCTTACCATCTATAACTCCAGGGGACCTTATACCCTCTCCTAGCCACCAGGCACAAATGGGGCACACAGGCAAGCATACAAGCAAAATAGCCATACACATAAAAATTTAAAAAAATAAACAAAAAAATGAAGTGGAGATGGATCAAGAGAAATACCTGACATTGATTTTTGGTTTCCATGCATTTGCGTTCACTGCCCTCACCCCCAGCACAAACACAAAAATAAAAAGAAATAAAGTACATGGGCTAGATACATAGCTCAGCAGTAGAATGGCAGAATGGTAGTTAGATTTCTCTAGCAATACACATACACACACACCCCTCCACACCAATGCATGATGCAAATAGATCGACTCTGAAAATATTAAACAAAGATGCCAGGCAATATATTGCATGATTTTATTCATAAGAATGCCCCAAACAGTCAAGTCTATAGTGGTTGCCTAGACTTGAGGGATTACAGCTAAGGGGTGAGGTGTTTCTCTTTAACGTAATGATAATGCTCTAACACGAACTCTGGTTCCCAACTCTGTGACCACACAAAAAGTGACTGAATCGTAAGCCTTAATGAATGAACTGTATTGTACATATATGATATCCCAAAAAACCTTAGTCTAAAGAAGAGTCTAAAGCTGGTGTAGTGGAGCATGCCTTTAATACCAGCAGTCCACCCAGGAGGCATAGGCAGGCTGATCTCTGAGAGAGGTCAGCCTGTTCTACACAGAGAATTCCAGGACAGCCAAGGCTACACAGAAAGATCCTGTCTCAAAACAAACAACCCCAAACAAACAACAAAACCCAACCATAGTAATTCTAAAATATGTATAGGAAGAAAAAAAAGTTTTTTAATATTTATTTTTAATATTTATGTTTAGGTATGTGTACTTACACACCTAAAAATATGTGTGTGTATCTACACGTGGGTGTGTGTACATGAGTGCAGGTACCCGTGGAAATCAAAAGATATCAGATTGTCTGGAGACAGAGTTATAGATGGTGGCCAGCCTTCTGACATGGGTGCTGGGAGTAAAATTTGGGTCTTCCACAAGTACAGTATATGCTCTTAACCACTGAGTCGTCTTTCCAGCCCCCCTAAAATCTATATTTTAACTAATTTTGTGAGCATTTCCAAATGGAAAGTAGCAGAACAAGAGAAATATGGGTTATCCGACCCCCACAGGGGATGTGCACCCAACATGGAAGGTAAACCACTGTTCTACATGGTTTACTTAATAGAGGCAAAGAACTAAAATTATTCAAAGAGTAAAAATGTGGTTGCATGGTGTGTGCATGTGTGCGGAAGGCACGTGACTTGTTGACTCTTCAGAGTTTTGTTTTGTTTTGTTTTTTGAGAGACTGTCTCTCAGTGTTCTAGAAGTCCAATAAGCAGGCTGAGCTGTCTGGCCAGAGAGCCCCAGGGACTTGTCTGTCTCCACTGCCTCAGTGCTGGCATTGCAAGCATACAATAACCACGGCCAGCTTTTTTACGTGGTTCTGGGATTTAAGACAGGTCCTTACATATCCCTCTCCCCAGGCCTACCATGAGTGTTTTCAAGGGCAAAAATAAGGTCAGCTATCAATCATGACACAACAGTGTCTCAGCAAGTTCAACAAGCAGACAAATAAAAAGGTTCATCAAAGAGCCTCTGAGGCCGGGTAGCCAAAGCACAGTGTTTGGTGCTCACACTCACCCCTCCTTCAGCATCAACAAGTATCTCTGACATCTTGAAAGTGACCTTTGGGTTTGCTGTGCCTTCAGAAAGAAACATAAATGAATAATAACAATATTCAGAATTACTCCAATTAATTGCTTCAAATCAATGCCCTTCAGACTTAGGTAAGTTAGGAATGCTGTATATAGCTGGGCTTTATTATGCAGAAGTCTTAGAACCTTTCTCAAATTCATATGGGTAGCAAACAGAAAAGAGGCTAAAGCACTAGAGTCAGAGAAAAACAAAGAAAAACTGTCTACCATTTCTGTGACTGAAAGGTTTGCAAAACGCAAAATGGACGAAACCCACGTACTGATTAAGAACAAAACCACGTAAAAGTCTTTGACATGGAGAGATGTCTTCTTGCCAATTTCCCTAACCCTGCTTTACCAGGTTTATGGGCATACCACCTCCAAAAGAAACTAAAGATTCAAAAGCTATACTTAATGAACAAACAATCCTTGTAAAAGCTGACTCTACATTTGAATGGCTGCCGTTTCGGTCGTGGTTTTGCGAAAAGGGCTCATCTTGGAGACCAGGCTGGCCTGGAGCTCCTGACAACCCTGCTGCCACAGGCTTCCAAGTACTGGACTTCAAGCATGAGGTAGCACACTAGCAGAGGAAATGAATAAGCAAAAACAGTGGACTACGGCACCTGTTTTAGGGTAACGGAATGAGTCTGCCCTCCTTGTTTCCAGCATGGGGGACGTTACATGAATAATCTCCACCTCAGATTCATCATTTTCTTCATAGAGGATTCTCAGAATTTTACCTCCATTAGGAGCTTAAAAGAAATTTAGAATAATTATTACAGAACACTCTTCACTCACAATTCCTTCTAAAACCAGGTTTTTCCTCTAGAAGAAACAGTGTGCGCATTAGACTGCTATTATGCGTTTGTGGTGACCTGGCCCGAGTTCGGTCCTTGCGCACCCTTGGCTAGGACTCCACCATGGGGCTGCACTTCACGGCTGTGCTGCCTTCAAAATAAGCATTTTTAACTACAGGTACTTACTCACTGTGGCGAGTGTGTGTGTAAGTTTGTGTGTGTGTACACAGGCATCAATACTGCTTTAGAGCTAGAAGTCTGCACACTTCTTTAATGAAACATGAAAAAAATATTTGAAATTCGTATCTGAGATTTGGTGACATTTTAAAATGTAAATGTTCTGCCACAATTATACAGAACAAGATTGTGACATAAATCATTCAACACAACTAAATTCTTTAGCATCTTCTAGTGACTTCCAAGTCCCTTCTACTAGGAGTTAAAATTCATCTCTTTGGGAAGGAAAAATGTAAATGTGTATGTATTAAAAATATACACACCTATATACATATAGACAGGGAAACATTTTTTAAAATAAATCTTTTTTTTCTGCTTTTTTTAAAAAGATGTATTTATTATATACAATGTTCTTTCTGCATGCTGCCAGAAGAGAACACCAGATCTCATTATAGATGTTTGTGAGCCACCATGTGGTTGCTAGGAATTGAACTTAGGTCTCAGTGCTCTTAACCTCTGAGCCATCTCTCCAGTCCCCAAGGAAAACATTTTAAAGAATTTTGACATTATATACCTTAAAATATATTTTGTTGAAGGGGAATTTTTTAATAAAACTTATAATATTTCCTATAAAATGCTAACAGTTTAGTTTTATTAAATGGTTTATGTAAACATCTTGTTCTGAATAATTATGAGAAAACATTTACATTTTAAAATAAGCCCAAATCTAAGACATAGAGTAAAATATGTATTTTTCACTGTCCTTTAAAGAAATGCTCAGACTCTAGCTGTGAACCAACAGTGATGTCAAAAGGTCTCTTAGTGCGTCCTAGCCAGCACTTAAGAGCACAGGCTGCTCCTCCAGAAGACCCAGCTGGGCCCCAAGCACCCATGCAGCAGCTGACAACCATCTGGAACTCCAGTTCCTAAGATCTGATGCCTCCTTCTGACCACTGCAGTGCCCTGGCACACACATGGTACATGTATATACATACAGGCAAACACACACACAAAACTAAGAGTAAATAAATCTTATAAAATAAAAAAATGAAGCAGAGAAAAAAGTATTACAGTACTAAGGAATACCGCTTCATAAACTGTGTTTCCAGTTTTGCCCATCAAATTGTGTATGGTTATATTAGGCCGCACGGCCATGAGTGGATTCTCACTGGGCTGCGTGGACAGTGTGTGGCCATCGCTTCAGGCTTCTCAGTCACTCACCCACACACACTCATCTGTCCACGTGGATGCTAGCCAGCCTTACGTATTTAACAGCACCTCACTAGCGTGACTCTTGCTATGGCACTGCTTGACCTTACACAGGGCAGCTTTCTAGCTGAAAAACCAGCCAGGAGCACCCAGGGTACTTAGGCAAAACGTAATTGTCTCTATTAAACTCTATGTTGGGGGATATGGCCTACATTTTCTAAATAGCTACTAACAGGATTTAATCTTTACCACATTTTCATTTACTGTCCCGGCTTTAAGCTCTGTGCACTCGGCCAGTCCCCAGTCAAATCCTTTACTACTTGAAATGACCGGTAACACACTACTTTGAACTTACTTCTTTCAGCTTGCGGACACCACCAATAGCCGGAATAGCGATCAAATTCTTCTTGAAGAACAAAAGTAGCAACTCCAGCTGATCTGGGATCCTCTTCCATGTTGGCTAGCTCTGGATGAACATAAAAGGCAAAATTATCTCCCAAACTCTTTTTTTTTTTTTTTTCACCACGTGACAAAGCAAAATGATTCCATCACTTCTAAGGAAAGTAACTGGCTTTCTGGTAAACTGTGGAGACAAACAGAATGCATTCAAATCTAGGCTTCGCCATTTACCTATAATATGACCTTGGGCATACCACTCCACTGTGGTATGTCAGTGGGAGAGCTCAGTGTGTACTTGGCTCTAGTACCTTTAGTAGGAATACCATTATGTAAGATTTTGTATTCTGGAAAAATGTTTAAAGTAATTTGTATGTGGCTTGTTTTTAAAAATCATGTTTTGACATTTGTCGTACTTAGTACCTGTTTGTTAAGTAGCTGTCCCTTGATGTGATGGATTTTTTTTTTTTAAGACAGTGGGGTGGTTTGAGAGAGAATGGTCTCCATTGTAGTTCCGCCATGTTTGAATGCTTGATTCCCAGTCCCCAGTGGAACTGTTTGGGAAGGATTAGGAAGTATGGTCTTATTAGAGGAGGTATATCACTGGGGATAGGCGTTGAGGTTTCTTTTTTTAAATTTTACTTAATATTATTTAATGTGCATTGTTATGAGGGTATCAGATCCCCTTGGAACTGGAGCTACAGACAGTTGTGAGCTGCCATATGGGTGTTGAGAATCAAACCCAGGTCCTTTGGAAGAGCAGACTCCCCAACCCCAGCTCTGAGGTTTCTAAAGCCCACACAGGCCTAGTCCCTCCCTGTCTTCAACGTGTGGATGAGGTGTGAGTTCTCAACTATTGCTCCAGCTCCATGTCTGCCTGCCTGTCCCCACTCTCCCTGCCATGATGGTCACAGGAAAGATTTAATTTTTCTTTTTTCTTTAAAATTCTCCTTTCTCCTTTCTTTTCTTTTCTTTCATTTGTTTGGTTGGTTGGTTTTGTTTTGTTGCTGCTGTTGTTTTGTCTTTTAAGACAGGGTTTCTCTGTGTAAGCCTGGCAGTCCTAGAACTCACTTTGTAGACCAGGCTGTCCTGAAAGAACTGCCTGCCTCTGCCTCTCAAAGAGCTGGCATTAAACGTATGCATCCCTACACCCAGCTTTAATTTACCATTTTAAAAAAGATTTATTTATCTGTTATATGTACAGTGCTCTGCCTGCATGAACACCTGCACACCAGCAAAGGGCACCAGATCTCATTATAGATGGTTGTGAGCCATGTGGTTGCTGGAAACTGAGCTCTAGACTTTTGGCACAGTCAATGCTCTTAATCTCTGAGCCATCTCTTTAGACCTAATTTACCATTTTTGATCATCCATATTCTACACTGTGAGAAGTGAATGTGCATAAGAACCAACACTCCCTTATCCAATAACTGAGTCAACTGTTTGGAATTCAGACTCTTGATACAGTACACAGCTATGGTGTATTAGGAAACACAACTGACAGCACAGCCGAATAAACTGTAATCCAATACCTCAATTTTCCAGCAGCAAACTAAAGGAAAGGCACACTGAGCAGGGCAAGCTTTATAAATACTCTCAAGCCAGCTCAGGTCAGTGTTTACTACCAAATGAATTTTAACACAGGCTAATGACAACAATGAGTTCAGAACTTTCTGAAATGTGGAATACGGAAAAGAGCCAAGATCAATGCTGCGTTTCTTGGGTCCCTTAACTACTATAAACTATGTCTCCAACTTGATTTTCTACTTTGTTCTTCTTTAGATGTGAAGACAGGGATCCAGGGGGTTTGTATCTTTACTACTTACAAGTTACTTCCTAAGTGGATAACTGGTATCACCATGTCTTCCAAGCGGAGGATAACTGGGGGCAGGAACCAGTATTTTTAAATGTCTCCATCATACTGTGCAGAGAATAAGCACACCTGCACCTGTACGTTTGATGCACACATGCATCAAGCTCACTTTCTACGGCAGGCTCTCACCACAGCCTTCTGTGATTAACACACTGGCTGGCCACACTCCCTTCTTCCTTCCCTTTCTATATAAACAGACAATTCACAGCTCTCTGCTTCAGCCACTATTCTAAACACTGCACAGAAATAATTAAGGCCCGTGATAGTCCTGGGATGATAATCAGTTGGGTCACATTTTTACAAATGCAAAAACCAAGACTAACTAATTTGATGAGGTCAGAATTAATGAATGGTAGGCACAACCCTCAACTCAGATAGCCTGGTTCTATAGTATTCTATATTCTCTACCTGTACTATTAACCACTACACTAACACTAGAAACAATAAATATACCACATACCTACAAGGGAATAAAAAGCTATAACATTCTCCAAAATTCCAGAACTTTATACTTGAAATTCTGCTAGTCTTCAAAAAATTCTCCATGGAAAACAATTTTACAAAAGAAAGAAAGCCAGGCATAATAGTACACACCTTAAATATCAGTGCACTTGGGAGGCAGAGACAGGCAGATCTCTAGAATTCAAAGCCAGTCTGTTCTACACAGTGAGTTCTGGATACTCAGAACTACAAAGAGAGAGCCTATCTTAAAAAACAAAACAAAACAAAAACGAACAAACAAAAACTTTAAAATGCCTTATTCCTGACAGTTTTTTAGAGCTATGCAGCCTCAGTCTCAAATACAAGTGGTATACACTGTTCAGGGTTCATTGACAGCATGAAAAACAGCTTCAATTTTCAACAGAATGGTTAACTAACTCACCTAACATTTCTGCTGCTATTAGACACTCTTCCCATTTCCTGATGTTAAAGAAAACTCAAGAAACAGCAATTGTGTACTTTTCCAACATTTTCCCCACCCTCTTTCTCTCTATGCTGACCTCTTAACATGGCATCCTATGACGCCAGTATCCTGTCTGTAATATCTAAAACCATTATGTCCAGGACAACCATAACCACTGGCTCAGTTGCTGAAGACTCCTCCACTGACCCTGCTGGACAACTGAGTGTGTTTCCAGAGCCTCACAAAGGCAACAGCACCCTTTAAAGTAAGACGGTTCTCACTCAGTCGTCCTTCTGGAACACTCTGCTAACAAAGAGACATCACTGAAGGTCAGGTCAATGCATCTTCTCTGGGAAGCCTTTGCAGAGCTTCCAAGCCTCTCTTGGTGCTCTACAGAACTCCACATTCGACTTACCCTGTTTTGCTGTTATTAGTTTATTAGCTGCTTGATGGCCAGCATCGCATTACCAGCCTGCACCTTGCTACAATTCTCCTTTAGAGTCACTAAAGGTTGCTTCCCTTAAGCTCCTATTCAAAGACCACAAGCTGCAAAGGCCTAAGTGTTTACATAAAACACTACTGTGTTTCTACAGCGCTCAACTGCACCCTCACGTAGACTCCAATGAGATTACTTACTTACACTGTAGGCAGTGTAAGCATGCTACACCATACTGCTTAGAGAATGATCAATAATAATACGACAAAATGTCTGCGTGTGTCCATTACAAATACCGCTATCACAGGTCTAACTGTACATATATAGGAATGAGGTCAGCATAGTGAATGGCCCAACAATGCCAGAGAGGGTGAGGAAAGACATGGGGGAAGCTACAGGAAAGTGTTCCTTCTCATACATCACTTCTTCCGTGAGCTCAGTCCAGCAATCAATTTGTGACAAATTCAGGTCCTGCCTTTTGGAACTGTTTGGTTGTGGTGTTGTTGTTTTCAAGACAGGGTCTCACTAAGCAGCTCTGGCTGTCCTGTAATTCACTATGAAGACCAGGCTGGCCTGGAACTCAGATCTTCCTGCCTCTCCCTCCCAGGTGCTAGGATTAAAGGTGTCACTACGTCCAGCTCTTATTTTCTGAGACAGCATGAAGTGAATATTCCTCTTGCCTCAGACTCCATTTGTCAATCAACAAAGCTACTTAACTATGTTCACAATGCACGTGGTTCTACAGTCCACATCCCCACTACAACAGCAGCTACACAGGCGCTCCAGGCAGGTTTGTTTTGCAGGCAGTTTCTGCTCGTGTGTAATTGGCTTTTATGTTTGTATCCCCAATCAAGTCTAATTTTCTTAAAAGTTCATTTAATGAGGGGGGTTTTGGGGAACAGGTGCACTGTGGTATTTGAAAATGGCTGAGAAGACAGTGGCATTATTTAAGAGGTGCAGACCATGTATTCAGACCTTCTCCATTACTTTAAAATTTTAAACACCTGAACTTAAAAATGATCATCCAGCTTGCTCTAATTTTAAAATGGAAGTAAAAGCAAATTCAGCTTTCCAAATACACCTCAGCAAACCTAGCTGCAGAGCTGCCTTACCATTGTGCACATAGGTGATCCTCCGTTCTTCTCTGGTTACAAGGTTCGAGATCCAGATATCATTGCTGTGAATGAAAGCTATCCAGTCTGGATCAGCAGGGCATAACTTTGGATCCATTCGTATATTGGGACAACTGGTTTCCACCAAATTAGGCCGTAAAGGTTGTTGCTAGAAAAGTAAACATCTTAAGGTACATTATCAGGTTGACAAACACAAACTTGTTTTCCAGCATTCTTCCAATAAGATAAATGGTATTCTAACTAAAATATACATTGTGACAGCTGCATCCCAGAAAAAATATACTTCAATTGATTTAACTTATTAAGGACTCTTTTAAACAACAAATAGAAGAGCAAAGAGTAATAGATAATACTGTATCATATCCCAAGACAATGTAACAGCATTTCAGAAAGTTTGTTGCTCAGCCTGTTTAATGGAGCAATTATTATCTGTTGAACTTTTTTTTTGAAACAGGGTCTCACTATAGCCTTGGCTAGTCTGGAACTCACTAAGTAGACCAGGCTGACCTTGAACTCACAGAGATATGCTTGCCTCTGACTCTTGAGTACTGGCCTTAAGGGTATGTGCCAGTATGCCTGGCTTGTTGAATTGTTTAAACACAATTCTGAATATATCATTAAACATTTAAAATTAATTTTACCAATAAAAGTGAGCTTGCTTATAAGACATGCAATGAGGAATGGTAAGACGGCTCTGCAGGTAAAGAAAGGTTCCTGCTGCTAAGCCCAACAACCCAAGTTCGGTTCCTGGTGAAATGAGAGAACAAAGCAATCCAAGTTGTCCTCTGACCTCCGTATACACCCTGAGGCCTGTACACATACACACTAAAGAAACAAATAAATGGAAAAGTGTTTAACTTTTAAAAGATTTATTTTCATTTTATGTATATGGTGTGTTGTCTGCATATTTGTGTACCACATGTGTGTTCAGCACTCGATGAGGCCAGAAAAGGGCATTGTATCCCCTGGAAGTAGGGTTACAGACAACTGTAAGGTGCCACGTGGGTTCCGGGAATTGAGCCCACTGGAAGAACATCTGGAAGAACATCCAGTGCTCTTAACCACTGAACCATCTCTCCAGCTCTTCTCAATTTTTTTTTTCTTGGTTTTTCAAGATAGGTTTCACTGTATAGCCCTGGCTGTCCTAGAACTTACTCTGTAGACCAGGCTGGCTTTGAACTCAAGAGATTTACCTGCCTCTGCCTCCCAAGTGCTGGGATTAAAGGGGTGTGCCATCACCATCTGGCTTCTCAAAAATTTTTATGTAATGATAGCCAAGATCAATGATCCTACCAAAAGATTCACTCCAGTTATTCATAAAGAATTACTTGGAATAAAACTAAAGATAAATTCATTTATAAAGATAATTAGCTTTTCAGGAAAACCAAAAAAGAAAACAAACAAACAACCTGTGATAATATCTTTCAAAATCTCTCTCGGCACTCAGGGAAAAGGGAAATTAGCCATTTTCTGTATCTGCTAGCACAGAAAGGATTTTGAACATTTTAAAAATTGTATATTGTATATTGGGGTAAAAGGGTTCAATTCCCAGCACTCATGTCAGACAGCTCACAAGTGTCTGTAACTCCAGCTCCAGGGAATCTACACCTCTAGCCTCTGAGAGCACCTGTGCTCACATACACACACTGAAAAATAAAATGATATTAAAAAATTATATCTTTATACCATGGAAAAACTATTAACCTTTCAAAAAAAACCCTACTTTTAACATTTTTATTATTCATGTATGTCCATGTTTGTGTTCAGGTGTGCACGTGAGTGCGGGTACCTACAGAAGCCAGGATATCCCCAAAGATGGAGTTCGAGGTGGCTGTGAGCCCACTGAACTGCCATTTCTCCAGTGCCCATCTGTTTTTTGTTTGTTAGTTTATTTTAAGATTTTATTTTTACCTTCATCTTATGTGTTATATGTGTTTTGCCTTCATGTGTCTGTACCACTTGCATGTCTGGTGTCCACAGAGGCCAGAAGAAGGTGTTGGATCCCCTGGGACTGTGATCTAACATGTTGGGGCTGAGAATTGAACCTGGGTCCTCTAAAAGAACAGCTACTGTTTTTAACTGCCCAGCTGTTCTCCCTGCTCCCAAACTGTCAACTACTAAAATTAGAAACACACATTAATTTCTTAGTGGGCAGTAAACTGACCTTTGGTTTTTGCTCATCTCCTTTCTGGTGTAGGTAAATTCTCTGTAGGACCCCGAACAGTTAACACACACTAACTGCAACTTACTGTAAACCCATTCGGCCCTCCATCTTTGATATGGTAAATTCCGCTACCAGCTTGAAACAGGAATGTTCCACTTTCTGGGTGATAGTCATAAGCTGCGATTCCCACAGTTCCGATGCGCTTTCTTTCTCTGAGCAGCTCTTCCTCTCGAGAATACATCCCATAGTCCAATGTCGCCTAAGACAAAAAAAAAAAAAGTCACCTGTTTGGTCTTCTGAGACTGGGTCTTTGCAATTCACTGAAATCCTAGCATCTCTATTGTGCTCAAGTCTGCATCCTAGGTGACTCAAAAGTTGCCAACAAGTCTAACTAGATTAATTTCAGAAAGTCTCCTGAAATTCTGAGTTAAAAACCATTTAATCAAGACAAACTCAGTCCTCATGTGAATAGATGAGCTGGGGTATGGGGTAGGGGGTTCCCCTATTTTTAGGAATAGGGAAAGGAGATGCAGGAGGAAGGGTGGGGCTAGGAGGGGAGTAGGGAGGGGCCTATGACTGAGATGTAAATGGAATTAATTAATTAAGTTTTAAAAAAAGAACCATTTAATCACTATTGCATAAATTAGAAAACAAGAATAAGCCAGCCATAGTAGTGCATGCCTTTAATCCCAGCACTTAGGAGGTAGAGGCAGGTAATCTCTGAGTTTGAGGCCAGCCTGGTCTAGGGCAAATTCCAGGACAGCCATGGCTATACAGAAAAACCCTGTCTCAAAAAAGAAAAGAAAAAAAAATAATAATCAAGCCCATTATCTTAACAGCCAAGGCCCTCTATAACTAGCCATAATTCAGTAGTTTTGCATAGCTAACTGTAGAATAGAGATCTCCCCAGCTACATTAGTAGCCAGGCATACTCTAGGCAAGCCAAGAGAATACACTGGTGTGTGTGTGTGTGTGTGTTGTGGCAGTACTAGTGAGCCTCTAACTTCTGCCCATCTGACCTATCTGCCTTCACACCTCTAGAGTACCGGAATTACAGGTATATACCCAAGTTCTAGGAGGCAAAGACGAAGAGGCTCATCAGAAGTGTGGGGCCAGCCTGGTCTACATAGTGAGCCTCAGGCAATCCAGGGATACTAAGTCAAACTTTGTTTCAAAAACAGATAGGGCTGGAGAGATAGCTCAGTGGTTAAGAACATTTGTTCTTCTAGAGGACATGAGTTTGATTTTTCAGTACCCACATCAGATGGTTCATAACTATCTCTAACTCCAGTTCCTCGGGCTCCAATGACTTCTGACACCTATGGGTACCAGGCACGCACATGGTGCACAGACATACATGCCAGCAAGACATTCACAGACACAAACTAAAACAACACCAAAAAAATTCAATATCCTATGGTTGGTTTTAGATACAGGGAATTTGTAATTTAAAGGTTATACATATAAAAGGCTTCCATTTTAATTCCTTTTCATTCACATCTACTTAAATTATAAACCCAAGATGAACCTTTGTCCTGAAATAAATGAACCATATACCAAATCAAAGAAATAAGAATACTTGTTTTTACCTGAAAAAGATCCAAAAGAGGCTTCCAAGAAAGCATTAAGACTGCTGCTCTGTTGATAGTTTTAGGGATTTCAGAATAAAACAGTGTATTTTCTCTGTTCTCACCAGACATGGCTATAAGGAAAAAAAAAAAAAAAAAAACACATTATTATTTTGTAATACTGTTTTTTTTTGTTTGTTTGTTTTTGTTTCCTACATATTACAATGTTTTCCATTCCACAGAAACAAAAATTATGTTATTAAGTAGGAATGCACATGCCTTATGCCTTTGAAATTTCTTTGAATAAAAACAATGTTTTGCCAGGTAGTGGTAGGGCACGCCTTTAATCCCAGCACTTGGGAGACAGAGGCAGGCAAATCTCTGAGTTCAACCAGCCTTATTACAGAGGGAGCTCCAGGACAGCCAAGGCTACACAGAGAAATCCTGTCTCAAAACAAACAAAAGAAAACAACAACAATAATAAAAACAATATTTCAAGCTAAGCAGGTGGAGCAAACAGATGTAATCCCAGAGCTCAGGAGGTAGAGGCAGAAGAGTCAGGAGTTAAAGGCCAGCCTGGGCTAACTGAAACCTTGTCTCAAAAGTCTAAGGAAAACAGCAACAGGACTGCCAAGGCTTTTAATGGTGCCCTGGCACATGTCTACAACCTCAGCTCTCAGGAATGGCAGGACTGTGAGCTGGAGGACAGTGTGGGCAGACTGAGAAGCTGTGCCTCAACAAACTAAGAAGACATAAACATAAAAACAACCCCCAAAAGTTTCCCAGAAAATGCTCAGGTTTCACCTTAATCGTGTATGTGTGTGCGAGCACACAAGTACTCCAGCATGCGTAAGTGTATGCCACATGAGTGTAGGTACTGGGTGAGACCAGAAGAGGGTGTCAGCTCCCCTGGAGCTGGAATGATAGGCGGGTGGAAGGCCCCAGATGATGTGAGCACTACCAGCTTAATGAAGGTCTTAGAGAAGAGCAGCAAGTACTCCCAAGTTTACTTAACTCGGGTCACTGAGTCATCTCTTCACCTTGGATATTCAAATCTTAGTCCAGCTCAAGACAAAGCTATTAAAGCATATAAAACAACATTAAGAAAACTGTTATTGTTTGGTTTTGTTGTTAGTTTCAGTTGGCAACAGATGAGATTTCAGTGTGATTTCAGATTCGAAAACTGCTTCCTTTTCTTAACCATCTAAAATGTACTTAGAAACAAACAAGTTCTACTTAGTTCTAGTTTTTCTTCATTATAAAGTTCTGTGACTATAACAATAATATCTTTGGAGTTGGACATGAAAGTACACTTAGTGAAATAACAGAATCTAATGTGTGACTTGCTGAAAGTCTGTTGCTTTCCTGGAGAAGGGAAAAGAAAAAGAGGTCTCAACTGGAGCCGGGTCTGACTGAAAAGACCATCAGGGCAGAATGAAATACATACAAAGCAAACAAAGCTCTGTGACTAGGAAGGCTGGAGACAAAGCTAAACTGCATACTTGCTGTATAATCACAAGGACCAGAGTTCCGTTCTCAGCACCCATATAACAAGTCAGTATTCTCTACACAGGTATGTATGCCATCGTGCACTTATGTGTGTGCGCTCACACCCCACCCCCACACAAATACAGTTGATAAATTTTTTTTAAAAATTAGGAGCTGAACATAATGACACACACATATAGAAGGCAGATAAAGGAGTGAGTGTTCAGAGAGGCTATGGTGTAGCTCAGTGGTGGCATGTGTGTGTTCTTAACATGCACAGGGCCCTGGATTCAATCCCCAGGACCAAACAGGAAAAGCACTCAGTGAACTAACATATTTAATTTAGACAGAGCCCAAGTGTGGAATAAATGGACTCAGGACAAAGAGACCGAGACTTGGTTTAGAGCAGGGAAAGCTGCATCTCCCGAGGGGGAAAACACTAAAGGTTTTCAGTGTGTTCTAAGCTGACCACACTCAAGGAAAGGCATTTCAAGCCAGCTTTAATCAACTCTCGGTTTAAATTCAACTTTGTCAAAAAGATCATGGTCAACTACCTCCAAGTAAAAATATGGCTAATGGAACAATTCAAAATTAATACAGCCACTGAACAAAAGTTCACCAAATTAAAGCCAGAAGTGGTGCACACCTTTAATCCTAGCACTCACGGGGGCAGAGGCAGGTGGATCTGTGATTTCAAAGCCAGCCTGATCTACAAAGGACAGCCAAGGCTACACAGAGAAACCATCTTGAAAAACCAAAAAGAAAAAAGAAAACCAAAAAGAAAAAAAAGTTCTTCAAATTAAGTGATTTTCTTTCTTTGAAATGAGCCACAGATTTGGTTACAACCAAAATTGAATCTGAATTACATTTAATGCTCAGACTTGAGGAAATGCGCTCTCTCTGAAAGTGCAACTTCACTCACCAAGATAATAGACCCTGTCTGAGTGAGGTCCATCGGGATCCGTTCTCTTCACAAACATGAAGTCATGTGGCGCCTTGGCCATCATGTAGCCATGGTATTTTCTGGTATCAGCAAGCAGCTTTTTCAGCTGACTCCAAGAATATCGCTCTACATAAAATGGCTCCAGTTTAGGTCGATCCTGAGATTCTATAGTTCCCTCCTCACACTCTGCAGTTTCAAATATCTCAACACCCAGCTGTTCTGTTTCCATTGCTGCTGCCATGTTGCATTTTCCTGGAAAATCAAAAAAGGCACAAGAAGATGCTCACAGGGCTGTCTTCTACTATCACAATAATATAATAATAAGCCTTCCCGCACAGCTGCAATGAAACCTAGTAAGAAAAGCAACAGTGGTGTTCCCAACCCCCACCTCTGTGCTCAGTTCCAAAAATTTTTTGGGTAAAAATTGAGGTCATGTCAATTTCACAGTGACTATAAATCCCTTCGGGAGCTTTTATAAAAGGCTCTCCTTAGGTACCTCCTGCCAAAAATCCCTTTTCCTTTCTCACACTGGAAGGAAACAGGCCATGTGCCAGTTGGCTGCTAAATTCCACCCCAGAACATGTCAATAGTGAAGTTATGTGCCAAGGGAGGTAAGTGTTTTTGCATTTTAAAAAGTAACACATCTAACAAATACTGATCCTGTTTCTGAAATGTAACAAATTAGAATAACATTGTGACAATGAACTTACAGCAACTTAAGCAGTAACCTGAGAAAATAACATTGTTTTCTCTTCCAGAGAGGGAACCCTAACAACTAAACACTTTCTAGAGAAGAGCAGAAGGTTCAGAATGTAGCAATCTGAAAGCACTTGTCGTACTTAGTGTTTTACTGAAGAGTAGTCTTCCTGTTATGTAATTTCTATACTGTTCAAAAAAAGAAAAGGCTATCTTAGGTGGCTTTAATTAGTCAAAGTAGTCAATGAAGAAAGCATATGATATTTACATCAGCATTTTATAAGTCTGAAACCCAATTTACTAGTTTGACACCATAATTATGTAATAGCCTTGAGAACTGATTATACTTATTTTGCAAACCCAGAAGATACACTTTTCCCCCTCAATCTTTTCTGATACTTAAACGTGACATGAGCAAACTATCATAGAAAAATAACTACAACAAAAAGGCTATCATAAAACCATGAAGAGATGTAGCTCAGTGGTGGGTTCAATCCCAGTTCCACAAACTAAACTACAGGTATGTAACCACATTTCACATAATCATTAACTACTTCAACAATCAATACCTGCTGTGTATTTACAATGATGTCTCTCTTTTAAAGTTCAGCTTTGCAGTTACCATCAATTCATGCTAAGATGTTATCTGTGATCCAGCAAGTTACCCGAAGGTGTGGGCTGTGAGTCAGTCCACCGAACTTGCATTACTGGTATGCAAAAGTACTGAACTGTGCACAAGGAACACTGTATCATTTTCTGTGCACGATACTATCACTTATAATGTAACAATGACAAAGTAGTCCAAATACTGTTACATCAGGTAAAGTTGTAACACTCTCATCATTGGGCATCCAGGCTCCACTGACTAAAATCCGGCAGAGAGTTGAGTTTTTAGATCAACTGGGACTCGAGTATCAAGTGGCAGTATGTTAGAGTGGTGGCTGCTGGGCCACCTAAAAGCTAGGGGAGGTATGTCAAAGGACCTAATTTTCTGATGGAGCAAGGAACGAAAATGAAAAGAATCTATACCAATCTAACTCAGTTACCCTAAGTGTGAAATCACGTATCTACTCCAACCTCTGCAAGTTCCAAGGCCAAGGAACAGAAAAGAACAGCTCAGTATAAACTTCCAGAGCTCTCTACTACTCAGCTGGAGTCATTAACAACTTCTATGTAAAAACTCACATCAGCTTCTATCTAAAAACTGGGAATTTCTGAATGGGTTGTGCTACGTCTACACACACACAAAGTGTCGTTAAAATGATATTCTGCCACTCTGTTGACAGTAAATATTTACTCTGCACAACAGATATTGTGCAAATGTATAACTAGTTTCCAGGAGTCCTTGATACTCTGTATACAAAAACACATTCTCAAAATATGTGGCCTGAATTTTCTAAAACAAGGTCCTACTCATTCTCATTCATAGTGCATGTACCTCACAACCCACCAACCTCTCCACTTATGGACCTTCCCTGGTGCCTACCTGATTGTATTTTCATCTGCTCAGATCTCTTCTACTTTCAAAGAGATCATTTTCACCTGGCCCAACTTTAAGCACAGATCTCTTCGTTCATCCTGCTCTCTTCTCACAGGAATCTTTCCTTTTTTCACCATCCAATCCTGCTTACCAGATAAGAGATTGTTGATCATTAAAATGGACCACATATGGTCAAAAAATAAGCCTAAAAATCCAAAAATGATATTTAACCGACAGATTTTTAGTGTAATGTCTGAATTATTTTGGATCTCCAATATGTTAAAACTGTGTTTGTGATATATATAGTTTTTGATAGGTCTTACAAATGCCAGGCAGGTCTTGAATTCTTAGGCCTCCTGAATGCTGAATTTGCAGACCTATGCTAACAAGGTCAGCACTAAATATACTTCTTCCAGAAATGTATAGCTCAAACTGAGCAGTTAAATCCCAACAATAGTGTAAATATTGACCCAAACACATTAAAGAGAAAAGTATAAAAGGGCTTTAAAAATTGAAAAAAGTGGGTTGGCAATGGTTCAACGGTTAAGAGCTAATAATGGTATTGCAGAGGCCCCAGGTTCTGTTCCCAGCAGCCACTTCTGGCTGCTCACAACCACCTCAAAGACCAGTTCTCTGGGGGACCTAACACCTCAGGTCTCTACAGGAACTGCACTCGCACACACATACCTTCACACATACAAAACGTTTTAAAAGGTTACAAAAGGCATATAGATGTGAGGTGTCAATTGCAAAGCCTTGAAATCGGCAGATTTATTTCTAAGGCTAGGGAATTGGTTCAAAGGTAAAAGCACTTGTGGCAGACGGCAGAAGCCTGAGGATCCCTGGAAAGCATCAGAGCGTCTGTAAACCCAGCACCCCTAATGTGGCAAGGGAGGCAAGAGAAGAGAATCAGCCGAAGTTGGAGGGTCAGCTAGCCTGGAGTGTGCAGCAATTGAGACTCTGCCTCAACGAAGTGGAAGGGGAGAACTGACTCCCAAAAGTTATCCTCCGATTTCCGTAAGACCATGGTATGTGCGTGTAAAGCCGCAAGCACACACAAGCACACACACACACAAAGAATTTATTTCTATGTGCCTAAGTTCCTTTTACATGTCATATAGAGCTCTTCAGAGAATAAATTCAGTACAATAAAAATGTGCATTATAGGCCACTTTTTAACAGAAAGGGAACTTGAATTTAATCATCTAACTTGTGTTCATTTGTCTGTTTGGAGACAGGGTTCCACTTTGTAGCCAAGGCTAGCCTCGAACTCAAGATCCTCTTGCCTCAGCCTCCCAAATGCTGGGGTTGCAGTTATGCACGACTATACCCAGCTAGATGGTTTGTTTGTTTTGTTTTTTTGATAAGGATGTCCTATTTATTTTAAGGGCGTTCCTTTTTTGCCTTCGTTTTCTTGCCGTTAAGATTGAAAATAAATGAGATAGGTAGCTTTCCTGGGAAAATAATCACTAAGCCAGTTGATAGTCTAGTTTAGAAAAAAATGTGTTACTACGTGTTATCAGTTTAGACTTCAAGCCCTCTATGCCACATAGGTGATGGAGAGGTGAGAAAGCTATGTGGCAAGTGGGGCTTAAGAAATGTTAGCAGACTCAAGACACCTCCCCAAAGCGCGAAGGCCCTCATTCTGAAAATGGCATGTTGGGTTAAAAAGAGCTTCGGGAGTCTTGGGGTGGGACCTACAGAAATGGCATCCCATAGTTTTTACGGTAAGGACCAATTAAATCACTTCACTGGAGCCTAGCCATTTCACTCCTCCGTGTCTACAGCTAAGGAAGTTTAGGAGAGGCAACGGGGCTTGAAAGCCACGAACAAGGGAGAGGTGTGGCAGGGAATGTTGCGAGAGAGGACAGCAGGAACACCAAGGCTTAGTTAAAGAGGATGAGCAAGCTGGACAGAAAGGGCAAAGACCCTTCTGCGAATGGGTGGAACAGAATGGCAGCGAGACAGTGAGCGCGGAGGAATGGATCTAGAGGGAAGCAGGAGGGAGGAAGGAACACCGGCTGGGGAAAAAGTAGCGAGTCCGAAGGCGAATCCCATCCGCCACCGGCGGACCTCAGGCGAACCCCTTCGCCTCTGCGGACTTCCGTTTCCTCCTCCGTAAGCCCGGACCGTCCCCGGCATCCCAACCCGAGCCAGGCTCTATCAAGATAACGGACGTGCGAGTCCGAGCGGCAGCAGCCAGTGCTTAGGGGCGCCTAGCGAACGTTGGCGGCCTCGCAATCCGAGTGTGCGCTTCCTCTTCCGGCCCGCGGGGTCCAGCCGCCCGCTCTCCCCGCGGGAGCGGCCGGAGGGCGGCCGGCCGGAGCGCCGCGGCCTCGCGGGCGCAGGGGAGGGAGAGCGGGCGGATACTGCACCTTCCCCCGGGCCCGCCCGGACCGTCCGACGCGCTATGGAGCGGGCCTACGCCGCTTCATGCCGCGCCGCCTCCGCTCCCGTCGGGGCCACAGCAGCTTCCTCGGCGGCGACGCCGGCGGCACCCAGGCGGCGGACGAAGGGGCTTAAAGACGGCGGCGGCGGCGAAGGCAGCGGAGGCCTCGGCACTTCCGGTTCCTCGAGCCCCTCCCTCCGACGGGGGAAGGCTAGCGGCCGGACCAAGAAGGAGGACTCTCGCCACTGTGCGCGACCGGGTCCCACAGCGCCACCCAGCGGCCGGAGGAGGCGCGCCAATTAGATTGCCTGGTAGGAAGCAATAGCGCAGAAAGGGGACGGAAGGCAGGGAATTGATGAGAAGTCCTAAGAGGAATCACCAAGCATTCACCCCACCATACAGTCAACATATCTCCATTGCCTACTCAAAGTAGGTAAACTCCTTGTTCACGGCCCGGTGAGATGGCTCAGCAGGTACAAGCACTTGGACCCACAAGGTTTCTGAAGAGCAAACCAGCTCCCGCAGGCTGTCATGCACCCTAAAATCCAGTCTCTGTCTCTCTGCCTCCCTCCCCCCTTTCCTCCCTCTCTCTGCTCTCTTCTCTCTCTCACACTAGCATTAGAGCAGTAAGCCAAAAGGCAAAACTTCTGCCTTTCTGAGATGACAGAGGCCAGCTACGGCTTTGGAGACCTCAGCATTGCACAGTTACGATGGGGGGAAAAAACTGAATTTGGATACAGAAATTTGTCTTTAATATTAAAATCTTTAGTAGGCCACCCAGTCTTTTTAGGTTAGGGTCTACCCTTTGTAAAATGGATATAACAACATATTGTTTAGTTGTGATGAAAGAGCGATGTCTGTGACACTGACGCATTAAAAGTGGAGAAATAAGGCCCAAAGGTGGCTGTTATAATCAGATGCAAATCCCTTGACCCATAATTTATTTCCTAATATGCACTATGCATTGGCTAAGAAAAAGAGAAAAAATAAAGTCGGGTAAGGATGGCTGAGAAAGTAGGACAAGGAGACCAGGTTGGTGGAGAATCTAAACTCTCCAAAGATAAATGAGTCTTCACTTTTTTTTTTTTTTTTTCATGTAGAGCTCCCTAAAAGGACAGTGGTTTTCTCTAAGTATTCCGTATTAAAGGTCTGCCCTGAGAGCAGGTTTTAAGACTGAAGACACACACTCACCCATTATCAAAATTCAATGAACTGTGTCGTACTTCCTGCACACTAACAGATTCTTGTGCTGACACTATTCTCAAGCTGGGCTCACAAAGAGAGAGTGAGGAAAAAGGGGCAGATTTCCCGACTTCTGTGCAGTTTGCATCCTCATAATGAATTAGAAGATGGGCCTGGTGCTACATGCTGGTAATCCCAGTACTCAGGACGTTGAGGCAGGAGGATTCTAAGTTCAAGACCAAGCTGGGAACTTAGTAAGAGAGAGTCAAACTAGGATCTTCTCATCTTCAGGCTCGTTTGCCCTCTCCTATGCCATGGTTACAGTGGACAAACAAACTCCCTGGCTGGGAATGTAGCTCAGTGGTAGAACAGGTGCTTAGCAGCAGGGTGTGGCTCCCCACTTGGGGAACTGACAGGAGGACTGCTGTGAGTGTGAGGTTAGCCTAAGCTGGACAGTGAGGTGTAGGCCAGCCTGGCTTATATGGTGTGTTCTAGACCAGACAAGCAGCCTTGCTTCAGAGTGACACCCTCGAGCTCCTCTGCCTTTCCCACCAGAAAGGGGCTTAGTAGCTGTGAAGCCTTGGGCTCAGTCTCCCATCACCAAGGCTTATAAACAACCCCCAAACTCTGGAGAGGCTGTAGGGCAATGTCTGTAGCATAGCCTCTTGGCAACATCACTTACATCCACACAGCTACAGAGTAAAGGTTCCAGCCAGAGCTTATCTGGTCTTAGTGGAGAAGACAGGAGGTTTGTGGGGAGCTCCAGGCAGCCTCCCCTGGGAAACTGCTTGCAAGATACTTCTCTCCTTGCAGTTTCTTATGACCTATGTGGCTTTCTTTCTCCCTTGGCAAGAACATAAAGACCATTTAGCACAGTTTCCTACGGCCTATGTGGCTTTCTTCCTCCCTTGCCAAGAACATAAAGACCATTAAGCACAGTCTAGCGTTGTCTGCTCAGGGATGCGTGTCCCATAACTCCTTTTTGTTCAGCATTGTCTTTTCCAGGGTACAGGCCAAGAATCCTGAGAAGTGCCAGGTGTGGCAACACACACTTTAATCTCAGAGCTGGGGAGGCAGAAGCCGGGGGACCTAGGTGAGTTTAAGGCCAGCGTGGTCTACAAAGTGAGTTCTAGGACAAAGAGAGCTAAGCAGTGAAACCCTGTCTCAAGAAACCAAAACCGAACCAAACCAACAAAAACCTAAGAAACTGCCTGATATCTTCGTTCACCCTTCATCTGAACATGTGAGCCAGAGGCTGAGTCTGAAAGTGTCTCACTGTATGTCTGCTGGCCGAGCAAGTTAGGCCTTGCCAAGTCTTGTTTGTTATTGATAAAGCTTAGCTGGCATATGCTGCCCTGCAGTGGTGGCACTGAACATGAAAAGACAAGTTCCCAGAACATGAGGCATAACTGAGATCGCACACAAGGAATGGGGCTGGAGAGGTGGCTCAGAAGTTAAGAACACTTTGTGTAAGCCAGGCGTGGTGGTGAATGTCTTTAATCCCAGCACTCACGGGAGGCAGATGTGTCTCTGTGAGTTCGCAGCCAGCCTGGTCTACAAAGTGAGTTCCAGGACAGCCAGGGCTACACAGAGAAACCCTGTCTCAAAACAAACAAACAAACGAAAAAGAACACTTGATTCAGGCTGGAGATATGGCTCAGCAGTTAAGACCACTGGCTGCTCTTTCAGAGGACCCTGGTTCAATTCCCAGCAACCACATGGCAGCTCACATGTGTCTATAACACAAGTTCCAGAACTTCTGAAACCCTCACACAGACACAGATGCAGGCAAAACACCATGAACATTATAAAAAAAAAAAAAAAAAAAAAAAAAGCGCATGATGTTCTTGTTGGGTTCCCAGCACCCACACAGTGGCTTACTTAACACCCACTTCCAGGGGATCCAGGGGATTGATGCCCTCCTCTGGCCTCTTGAGGGCCAGGAATGCAATAGTGCATATACATACATGCAGATAAACTCATATACATAAAATAAAAATAAATCTTCTTTAAAGATAGTACTTTAGGGCTGGTACAGCTCCATCCCTGTGTAGACTGAAGCAAACCACCACGTGGAGAGAAATCGTGAGTGGAAGGCTGGGTGGTCAGAATTGAAACCTCTTCCTGTAGGAGCTAGGCTACATCCTAGAGCCAGTGTTGGTTTCAGGTATTGGGTCTACAGTACAGATTTTGACAGCCTTCTATTCTGGGCCTCTATCAGTGATCGGGATTAAGGAATCAGAGTCCAGTCATCAGGTCGGCCTAGACTCACCTCCTTGCTAACAGTGATGTCAGCCGTTTCTCAGTGTTCTCTCCCTCAATGAGAGAGAGTACAATGAGAACAGTCACAACAGTTCAGAAGGACATCACTGAGGGAAGTAATGCCCTGAAAGGAATTAGAAATGTTTGTGTACAATGGGGGTTCCATGTGTCATGTGATTTGTTGATGAGGGTGATGGGAGTGATACAGTAAAACCCTTTCCTCTGAAGGTGGAAAGCACAAAGCCAGTCCTTGTGTCTGAACCATCCTCCCGGGACACGACCCTTCTGGATCTTGTGCATAAGTGTGTGTACACATTCTATCTGTCTTCTAATATATATGTTATACATTGTATAAATGTTATGTAATTACTTATTAAATGTTATATAATAATGTATCATATAATCCCCTATACTTCTTTATTTCCCAGAGAAGGAGAGTGATCTGACTAAAGTCAGAAAGCCACTTATGGTTAGTTCTCAGGTGGAACTCCCAGAATTAACCAAGAAGGTATGATGATCTCAGGAGCTGGGGAGTTAAGTCAGTTGGTAAAGTAGTTTCCATGGAAGCATGGTGACCTGAGTTTGATCCCAAGTACCTGTGTAAAAAAGCCAAGCCTCAGCAGCACACACGTGTAATTTCAGCACTGGGGAGACAGAGACAGGCCAACTCCTTGGGCCTCCTCTCCAGACAAGCTAACTGAATCATCAGACTTCAGGTTCACTATGAGTTACTGTCTCAAAATTAATTAAATAAATAATTAGGCAGACAGCAATTGAGGAGGAAACCCAATGTCTACCTCTGACTTTCCCATGCATACATATACACGTGCATGCACACTAAACACATACATGTTGCTTATGCAGGCACATGAACACACATATGCTATACTGATACTATACTGCTCTGATCCTAGATGCAGAACTCGACCAAGACCAAAGCAAAATAAAACCTCAGGAACCAGAGGGGCATGCAAAAGCCTTTGTGCAATCTCTCCATCAACAGGCATCAGTCTCCCAAATTCGGCTACAGTCTAAACATAACTCTCAGTCATGATTAGAAGACATATCAATAATCTTGCTAATCTAACATGATGTCTTTCAGAATGGAGATGTTTTAAGATGTCAGAGCAGGCAACCTAGGCCTCTAATGTAGTGGAGGAAATGATCTCAAGTAGATAATGGGGATACTGAGAGCTGGTAATTTCAAGAAACAGTGGATGAGGTTAGGGGCATAGCATGCACCAAACTACAATAACAAAACATGGGTTTCCTCCTGGTTTTCTTTTTATAGTTAAGTTTTTGAATAGACAGTTATGTCATGTGTTTAAAAAACAATGAGGAGGCCTGAGAGATGGCTCAGTTTTAAAGTGGCTGCTGTGAAAGTGTGGACATCTGAGTTTGGTCTTCGGGTACATGCAAAGGCCGGGTGCAGTATGCATCTTTAAACCTCGTGCTGAGACAGTGGATATAGGCAGATCATTGGAGCTCACTGACCAGCCACGATGGCCAAGTCAGTGAGCTCCAGGTTC